GACACCCTCTGCAGTCCTGACACTCTAGGCCCTCTCTGCTTCCTGCCTGCACCCCTCTTCTCAGGGCCCATTCTGCACCCCCTCTGCATCCCATGTTACCTTAGCAAGGCCTTCCTGCACCAGGCTCTCTAAAGGCCCCTGGCCTGCATTGCACTCTTTTTTTTTTTTTTTTTTGTCTGTTGTGGGGCTTGAACTCTGGGCCTGGGCGCTGTCTCTCAGCTCTTCAGCTCAAGGCTATCACTCTACCACTTGAGCCACAGCGCCACTTCTGGTTTTCTGGTGGTTAATTGGAGATAAGAGTCTCACATACTTTCCTGCCCGGGCTGGCTTTGAACCGTGATCCTCAGATCTCAGCCACCTGAGTAGCTAGGATTACAGGTGTGAGTCACAGGTTCTCAGCTTGTGCAATGCACTCTCGACCTGCCACCCTGCTGTGTATTTATGTCATTCAGGAACATTCCACAGGTGTCCACTGTAATATTTATTTCTGTCCGCTTCATCTCTGGGATTGGGTACAGCAAGGAAGGATTTTTTTTTTTAATGTTTTGTGTATAGCAGTGTTCTCAGTCCCTGGATCAGTGCCCGGTACATAATAGCTGCTAAATAAACATTTGTTAGATGGCTGAATGAATAAATGCAAGGCCATTTTAATATCAGCTAAATGCTCCTGCTTTCCCATCAGCTGCTCCCTGCTGCCAATGGCTGTGGCAGACTGGGAGGAAGGTGCTGTGATCCGGGGCTCTGTTGGGCCTCAGCTGCTTCATCTATCTCCATGGGCTTCCTTTGCAGGGTCCACCTGGCATGAGAGGTTCCCCGGGACCCCCAGGCCCTATCGTAAGTACCTGTGGCTCTTAAAGGGGTCCCAGCACTCAGACACCATCCAGCTGCCTTGTCCCCAAAAGAAGCTGAGCAGGAATATCTGCTGTCCGCCCTCTTCCCCTCTCAAGAGAGTGTCTTTAGGGACTGTGGTCTTCCACCACCATGTGCCCTGCTCTGCCCCATTGCCTGTGGTCCTGCCCCGGGGGAGGCTCTCAGGGGCATCTCTGCCCCCGCCCCCTCCCTGATGTGTTTTATTTTACACAACGGATGCTGCCTGGTGAGGGAGGTATGTGGCGTCTGGCCATATTTCTGCCCATGGGACATGAAACCCCACAAGGATCAGGACTGGGGCAGAGCTGCGCTCTATGGCAAGTCTGCAGAGGCCAGACCTGGGACGTCCACCCTTAGTAGTAGTGATGGTAAGGCAGGAAAGAAGTGACTAGAAAGATGGGGCGAGGAGGGGCTAAGAATGTGGCTTAGTGGTAGAGTGCTTGCCTAGCATGCATGACGCGCTGGGTTTGATTCTTTAGTACTACATAAACAGAAAAAGCTGGAAGCGGTGCTGTGGCTCAAGGGGTAGAAGGCTAGCCTTGAGCAAAATATGCTCAGGGACAGTGCCCAGGCCCTGAGTTCAAGCCCCATGACTGGCAAAAAGAAAAAAGAAAGAGAGAGAGGGGGAGAGAGAGAGAGAGAGAAGAAAAGGAAAGATAGATGGGGGGAAAACAAAACAAATACAAAAACAAAAATCTTGAAGTATGCTCTTTGGAGAAAATCAGAGCCTGGGAACCACCTGCTTGCGGGTGGGTGGGGTGGAGGGAGGGTGAGCGAGCCCCGAAGGAGAGACTTCCACTCCTGGGTGGAGTCCAGTGTGTCTTTCTGCAGGTGGAGGAAGCGTGTTTTCTGGAACAAGGTGGGAGCAGGGAGGGGGGACAAGTGGTCATCTTATAGGCTACAGTGGCCAAGGAATCTCTCCTCCAGCTGCCTTGAAAATCCTTCCAAGACCTCCTCTCCTCGGCCCAGCCCCAGACCGTGCCCCAAGCCACCCCAGGGTGACTGTGCTTGTGAGATGTGACCCTGCCTGTTTCTCCCACCAGGGCCCCCCAGGTTTCCCTGGTGCTGTTGGCTCCCCCGGACTGCCTGTAAGAACCTAGTAGCGTTCCAACACCCCTGCCCACCAGCCAGGTCTCCGTGGCTTTTGCTTGTTGCCCCTTCCTGTGGTGTCGTGGCCCGCTCTTCCCTCCCCATTGTCCCCTGTAGGCAGGGTTGCTAACGACACCCCCCCCCACACACATACCAGGTCTCCACCCCTTGGCTCTCTTCCCTCACAGTCTCTGACCTCTCTCCATCCTCCCGTTTTCTTTCACCACCCCCCGATTTCCTTCTCCTTTCTCTCTCCATCCTTCCTCAGTGTGAGTCCTCTTGAGCTCTTTTACCTTCTTATTGGAAGCTGGGCCATAGGGAGCCCCTTTCTCCCTCCCTCTTCTCACTTCTGCTTCCCGCTTCCCACCACCTGCCGTGGGGGACTGAAGATTTGCTGAAAGTAGTTCTTGGGGCTCTGCCAGGCACCTGGCTCCAAGCCTGGCGAAGATGCCAAAGCTTGAGGGCTTCACACTGCAGCCTGGCACAGGTTGGCCGCCCTGCTGCCTTAAGCAAAGCTGTCCAGAGGCACCCCAGGGATTCGAAGGCAGCCCTGCCCCGCACCCTGTCCCTTAGCCTCCTCCTCTTCCTCTCCCTTCTTTGGCTCCGGTGCCAGTCCTCTCCAAGGCTGGACATGGAATGCCGGCCAGGTGGGTTTCTGGGTGTCGTAGGGCCCTGCCCCTCTGTGCCCGCTGCCTTCTGCCAGGTGTCGTTCATTGCTCTGCCTCTGTCACCGTCACAGGTGTGTTTCCAGTCATCTCCCCTCCTTCCCTTCCGGTCCCTCCTGCGTCACAGAAGCTAACCTTTTGTTTGTCAGAGTTTGTCTTCCCGGGGCCTAGCTCCTCTCCTCCCAGGCCTGGTGGCGGAGGCTTGGGAGCAGGGCCCCTCCTTGTCACGGTCCCATCTGTCCCCATGTCCTCATCTCTGACCAAGCCGTGTCTGTTTCTGCTTGCTTGGGTGAAGGGGCCATCTGTCTGTCTAGCCATCTGTCTTGTGTTGTGAAAAGGTTTGGGCGCCATTTGTCCAGGACAGGAGGGTGAGGGGCAAAATGGGATCTCTCAGAGGTGTGAGGGCTGGGGTAAGGGCCAGAGCCTGGGCTCTGGCTTCCATGGAAAGTAATGTCCCCTGCCCTGTAACGCAGTGACAGGCAGAGGCCACATCTCTGGAAGGAGATGGTTTGGGGTGGGGTGGGGCTTGGACAGGTAAGTGTTGGCTATCTGGTGACACACTTCAGTGGGGAGCACCCTCTCCTAATGTTTGTCCCTCAGAAGGAGCACACACCTGATTGTCACCCTCCTAAAGGTACATCTCAGACAGGACCCATGGGTGACAATCACTTCAAGTTCCCCCACAGAGTGGGGTAGGGGAAGGAGGGGGACACTGATGGCCGACTGCCTTGAGAGTATGTTCTAGAAAGGCACCTCTATGTGGATATGTGTCCGACAGCCCCCCCCTCTGAAGCACACCTCTAGAGTCACTTTGCTAGGGATACAGAGGGGCCACTAGTGACCCCCACCTTTGCCCAGGGTGGGAACAGAGGCCTGTGGGGCGGGGGGAGGCTGGGCGGGGCTGGCCATCCTCTATGGTGTCTCATGAGTTTTCTCTCCAAGGGCCTCCAAGGAGAGCGAGGCCTCACGGGCCTGACAGGAGACAAGGGGGAGCCGGTAAGAAGAGGTGGCCCGGGTTCTGGGAAGACAGATCGGGGGCCCGAGGAGGCCACAGGAGGGAGGCTGGGAGGTGGAACTCCTGACTGGCCCCGATACCCTTGGTATGTGTGGGTGTCCACAGATGCTAGGAGCTCAATCTCCATTTGCCCCACCTCCCTGCCCCTTGCCTGTCCCAGGTCCCTCAGCTGTTGCATTTAGGGGCTCTCCCCGCCTCTTGCCTCTCCTTCCTCTCCTCTAGTCAGCTCTGGAGCTCTGCCTAACCTGGGGCCCAGCACAGGCCACGCCCTCCCTGCTAGAGGGATAATCTGGATGTTTCCACTCTTGGGGGGGGGACAGCAATGTGGGGGCCTGACCCATCCCATCTGCCTCTCTCTACAGGGTCCTCCAGGACAGCCTGGCTACCCAGGTGCTGTGGGCCCCCCCGGGCTGCCTGTGAGTATGGAGATGTTGGCTCTGGGGGTGCCGGAGGCTCAGGCTAGTGGTCAGGACGGACCCAGGCTGGGCATCCCTCAGCAAGCCCCTCCTCTCCAGGCCTTCCAGCCCCTGCCCCTGCCCTGTCCCTCCTGCAGTTCCCCACCCTCCCTGTGGACCCCCTGGTAGGCGGGCTGGCCCCACTACTCTGCCTGAAGGCTAGACAGCACTAAGTCTCAAGAATGGAAAACTCCCCATGGGGTGGGATGAGCTGGGGAGATGGCCATCCCCAGGGGAGCCGCTGGGTGGGCGCGGCCCGGCTCTCCACTGAGGGCCACAGTGGCAGGAGGGAGGTCACAGAGGCCAGGGCTCTCCTCCCCCAGCCATCTTCCTTGGTGCCCTTAGCCTCCAAGTGCCAGTCTGGGTGCCAGCTGCAGTTCCCCACCCCTCGCATTAGCGCTGCGAAGGGCAGGCTATTGGGCTAATTCTGTGCGCTCTCTCTCTCTCTCTCTCTCTCTCTCTCCCTCCCTGCCTCCCTCCCTCCCTCTCTCTCATCAGGGCATCAAGGGAGAGCGAGGCTACACAGGGCCTGCAGGAGAGAAGGGGGAGTTGGTGAGTCTTGAGTCTTGGTGGCAATGGATGGTGAGGGGGTGGAAGGAAGGGCTTCAAACAGCAGCCGCCTCCGCCTCCACCTCCCACCACCACTGGGGACTGGAGGTTTTCCTGACAGCCAGTGAGGAGGAGCTCATGACCCCTGTCTCCCCTGCCCCTGAGACGCTCCAGCTGTGGCAGGCTGGTGACGGCAGAGGCGGAGGCTGCGCTGCCAGGATCTCAGCAGGCTTTGTGCAGACCGGCTGCCTGCTGGGGAATGGCCTGGGTGGCTGGCACGGCTCCTCCTGCCAGAGTGGCTGCCCAGAGCATCAGGCCTGGGACTCAGTCCCCAGCTCAGCCACCCTTCATGGGGCTCCCGTGCAGAGCCAGGAGCTGGGGGCTGCCATGATTCATCCAGGGTCCTACAGCCAATCAGGGAGTAAGTAGGAGAGTCTGGGCTGGAGACCAAATCTATCTGGTGACAGACCTCAGACCTCAACTCCGAGATCAGCTGAGCTGGGTCTGGAGTCTTACTCCCCCCACCCCCCTCAAAAGAAGTCACCAGGGCCTCAGCAGGGAATCTGCAAAAGCCATCACAAGGCTATTGAGTAGCAAAAATGTCCCAAGGGCCGACTAGGTGCCTGGGCCCTTCTGAGGATTCTGCAGTGAGCGAGGCAGGCCCAGATAAGAGATAAATAAACAGAGAAACAGAGACTAATGTAAGACAGAGACTAAGGACCCAGGAGCCCGGAAGGGGCTGGAGCAGTGCATAGGATGCTGTGCAGACAGAAGGTCAGGGAGGTCATCATGGAGGAGGAGGTGGCATTGGAGCTGAGATCTGAATAGAGGAGGGAATCCCACAGAGAGAGGCCATGGGTAAGGGACTACAGGAGCAGTTTGGGGCCATGTAATCATCCGCTAGGACTTGAGGAGACCTAAAGAGTGGGCAATGGAGGGAATTCCAAGTGAAAGAGCCGTGCAAAGGCTCTGGGGTGCAAACATACAGAGCAAGTTGGGGGAACATCAGTCTGCCTGGGAAGTGAGGCCAGGAAGAGTGGTTGGTGATAGATTTACAGGATGCCTCAAACCCTAACATGGGTGAAAAGCATGTGCTTCGTGTTAGTTGGCAGAGAGGAGTCATGGAAGGTTCTTGAGCAAGAGAGGGTAGCCTAATCAGAACTGTGCTTGAGGACGAAAGGCTGGCAGCTATTTATTGGCTGACTGGTCCTGTCACTCAGATAGAGAGGAGGCAGCCTGAGGGGACCAGGCGGAGGAGTCCTGCTCACCCGCAGGGCTGCCCACTGCACGTCCCCCCCCCCCCAGGGACTGACTGTGTTCCTCTAATCCCAGGGCCCACCAGGTTCCGAAGGCCTCCCTGGTCCCACAGGCCCAGCGGTGAGTGAACGGGTGGGGGGGGGAGGGGAGGGGGAGGGGAAGGAGGGTGTGAAGCGGGCCTTCTTTGGCTTGGGACAGGAATGATTGGGTTCCAACTCCATTCTTCGCTCTGGTGACAGGGTCCCCGAGGAGAGCGAGGACCCCAAGGGGCTGCCGGTGAGAAGGGCGACCAGGTCAGTAAGGCCTTCTGGTGGGCATCAGTCTTCCCACCCCACCAATCCTGAATGAGAGCCTCCCAGGTCCTGTGGAGAGCTGGACCTGCTGGCCTCTTGGGTGGAAGGTGGGGGAGGGCTTGGGTGCAGGGGCGGGGGGGGAGTTGAGGCTGCCTTAGCCTGTCACCCTTTCCACCTGGGCGGCCAGGCAGAGAGAGATGGCACAGCACGCTGTCCCTTGCTGTTTCTTTCAGGGATTCCAAGGCCAGCCAGGCTTTCCAGGCCTACCGGTGAGTGAAAACACAAAGCCAGCTCTGTGATGTGTTCTCATGGGGAGGGCCGGCCTGGAAGAGGAGGGAAGAGGCCAGAGAAGCAGTCTGGGTGGCCAGGCCTCTCTCCAGGAACTCAACCTGGCCAGTAAGGGCCTCCTGGGTGGTCCCAACAAGGCCAGGCAGACATTTGTAGAAGATAAAATTGGTTTCATGATCCACGGGGAAGCATACACAGGAAGAAGAAAGAATGGGCTCCAGCCTCATTAAAAAAAAAAATCCTGCCTGCTTCTTTGTTGATCCAGGGTCCCCCTGGGTTCCCGGGAAAAGTCGGAGCACCTGGACCTCCTGGGCCTCAAGCAGAGAAGGTGAGCAAGACCTCCAAGGCCCAGCCACAGGTTGGAGCCAGGCAGTGCCCATGCCCCTCTTCCACCCCTAGCATGGGGCCTACGGGGAATTCGCAGACCTACTTCCTTGCTTCAAAGCCAGGCCCAACAACAACTAAGTCCTTTGAGCAGTCAGGCTCAGAAAGACAGGTAGAGTATGGCCCAAAGCAGAGCCTGCTTGGCAGCCCAGCCCTGGGCCATCTTGGTCTCCTCAGCAGGGAGCCAAGGGAGGGGGGAAGTGCAATCCAGACCAGAAATGTCTCACTGGAGGGCACCCCCTGGAGGTGGCGGTGGTAGTGGGGGGCGGTAATAAAACTTTCCCTCCAGCAGCCATACTTAGATTGTCCCAGGGTCTCAGAGAGGGCAGGGATGGTATGAGACTTGGTGACAGCGAGGAGCCACAGCCTGGGGAGCCTCACATGGACAGTCTGTGAGTTTGGCCCTACCACGGTTTGGGGGCTTCTGAGCTTAGGGTAGGAGGGTGGGCCCAGGATGGGAGACCTTCAGCATGTAGGAACTGCTTTCTTCTGAAGCCACTTGTGACCCTGTCACTGTACAGGTGAAGAAAGTCCTGTCAAGCCCCCCAGCTCAAGCTGGTCATTGCAGAGAATCCCAAACTCAAGCCAGTAGTTCATCCTGAGTCCCCGTGGGACTGACATAGGCTGGATTGTGCTGACCCCTCCTGGTAGTTGATGGCATTGCAATGACCCCCAGCTCTGTCTCTCCTTTAGTGGGGACCGCTGATGCAGTTAGCCACCTCTCCCTACTGAATGCAGCAGCCACTCTTCTCCGCCTCTTGCCACCCTCTCCTTTCCCTCCTGAACCCTCCATGGCTCCCCACTAGAGCAGTGATTTAGACTGGTCATCTCCCAGGCTAATCACACAAAATTTTAAACTGTGAAACAGATATAAGTGAAGCTTCCTTGTCTAAAATAAGGATAGGGGCCTGGAGTCTTACTCCCTGGGTCCCCACTTCATTCCCCTCAGCTTCCTGGCTCCCCACGAGTCCCCCAACACCCTGAGAAGTCTCCTTTGATAAAGTGTAGTGCAGTCCATCAAGTTTATCCTACCTCCTGCCCCGCCCGTCACTGGGGCCCTGATAGCCTGGCCCAGCAGTCATATGCCTGCTTCCAGATCTTTATTTTTCTGGGAGGTTCTCTCCAGCAGGCCTCTTTCTCCTCCTTCTGTCCAGCATCTGCTACCAGGCCCCTGACCATCGTGAGCTCCCTCGTCTCCCACAGACCCTTTCCCCATACACAACATGTGGACCATTGTATTTACCATGGATCCTGCGGGCCTGTGGCCTGAAGGGGCAGGGAAATCCCAGGGGACAGGGGCCACCCCACTTTCTTTACCTCGCGGCATCAAAGCCAGTACACATTGCATACTGTTATGTGATGTTCACTGAATACATGCCCCCTCACCCCTCACCTGGGTCAACCCAAGAAAATGATGGACTAAAGAGGCTCTGCCCCTCCTCCCCGAGCAGCGAGGAAAGGGGGACCTTCGCAGGCAAGCGCAGACCCTCGAGGGGAGATCACTCTATATGTGTCACTTAGGCCAGCTCAGGTACTAGCTAGAAGCCAGGTGTCCTGACTTCTAGGCGATCCCTAGGCCCTTTGACTCAGGGCAAGACGAGGCCCTGCTGACTTTGCCGGGTTTTGCTGGTTTCAGGGAAGCGAGGGGATTCGAGGCCCATCCGGCTTGCCTGGCTCCCCTGGGCCACCAGGACCTCCTGGCATTCAGGTGAGCATGGGTCCTCAGCCCGGCAGGCAGGGTTTGTGTGCATGTGTGCACATGTGTGGCAGGACTGGGAGTTGGGTGGGGGATGGGGAGAGCTAAAGGCCTGGCTCAGCCCTCCCATGTTCTAGGCCCTGGCACAATGGGCAGAAACGTGTCTCCTGTCTACAGGGCCCCGCTGGGCTGGATGGACTGGATGGGAAGGACGGCAAACCTGGCCTGAGGGTAAGATGGGAGGCCAGGGCGGACAGGCATCCCTTTCCCTCCTTCCTTTTCCTGTAGGAAGTTCCAGGCTCTCTCAGTCATCCTTGTGAACTTAGCCAGGTTAGATGGACTAGCATCTGTAAAGGCAGGACAGTGATAAGAATTCATGTACAGTCTAAGACTTTGATGACTGGAAACATTCAGCTGGGTTTTAGGAAGAATCAGCTACAGACACAGAAAGGCCTTGAGCGAGGCCTGGCTTCTTAGCTGAGTTATGCCAGTACTAGGGCTTGAACTCAGGGCCTGGGCACTGTCCCTTAGCTTTTTTCACTCAAGACTAGGGCTCTACCACTTGAACCACAGTTCTACTTCTAGCTTTTGGGTGGCTCATGGAAGATAATTGTCTCATAGACTTTCCTGTCCAGGCTGTCTTTGAACTGAGATCCTCAGATGTCAGCCTCCTGAGCAGCTAGGATTACAGGCGTGAGCCACCAGCACCTGGCTCCTTGGTTGAGTCTTGCTGGGAAATCTGAAAGGAATGGGATCATAGCAAAGGTCAGGACATCAAAAAAAGTCAGCTTGTTCTGGTACCGAAGGAAGGAGAGCCAAGGCTCAGAGAGCGCCTGGGCCACACAGCACCCCTGGCAGGTCAGAGGCTCAGAGGGGCTTTGAATTCTTTCCCTCTGCCTCCCACAGCAGCAACTTCACCATGAGGGGTGGCCCCAGGGTAGGGGGGCAGTTGGTAAAGGGGAAGCAGTGAGTGATTGGATGTAGTCTGGGAAAAAAATTGCCTCAATACCTGGCCTGTTTTCCTAGGGGGACCCCGGTCCTGCTGGCCCCCCTGGACTCATGGGACCCCCGGTAAGTTGAGTTGGGAGCTCTAAGCCCTCTCCCAGCACTGTCTGGAAAACTAGAAGGCAGCACATGTCCTCCAGATCTCCCTTCCCCCCTCACCTCACCTCAAGAGGGAGGTGGGGGACACGACATCTCCTTGTCTTTCCTTCAAGGGCTTCAAGGGGAAGACAGGACACCCCGGCCTCCCTGGACCCAAGGTAGGGGGACTTCCACAGGATGGATTTTCCTTGATGCCCTGTAGACATGGTGGCACAGCCTGGGTGGAGGTTCTGCATGATCCTGGCTGAGATGTCATCGGCTTCCTGAGGCCACCAGGATCTGGAAGTGTGGCGTAGAACTCATCCACTAGCATGAGGGTGTCTCTAACCAATGCCAGGGAGGGGGCAGGTCCCCTCTGATGTGGGCTGGGGGGTCACCAAGCTCTGACCACCCCTCTCTCTTTAGGGTGACTGTGGCAAACCAGGTCCTCCTGGCAGCAGTGGCCGGCCAGGCGCAGAGGTAAGAGCCAAGATCTCTGCACACTGACTTAGATCGCTCTGGGCTCTGTTGAATCTAGTGTAGCCATTTCCTTCCTCTTTGTGGCAGAGTGGCTGCTTTCCCTCTCCCTAGCCTTCTGAGAAGTTTCACCCCACTTTCCACAACGTGAACCTTCTCCCTCTTAAGAGTTGTAACTGGGGCTGGCAATGTGGCCTAGTGGTAGAGTGCTTATTTAACATGCATGAAGCCCTGGGTTCGATTCCTCAGTACCACATAAACAGAAAAACCTGGAAGTGGTGCTGTGGCTCAAGTGGTAGAGTGTTAGCCTTGAGCAAAAGAAGCTCAGGGACAGCACTGAGGCCTTGAGTTCAAGCCCCAGGACTGGCAAAAAAAAAAAAAAAAAAAAAGTTGAAACTGACCCTTTCCCTTTCCCTAGGGGGCTACTGTGTCACTGTCTTCAAACACACAACCTAGCATTCTCAGGCTCCAGGAAGCTTGAGTCTGAAGGCTAGCACCCAGCCCCACTCTTCCGGCCATTGGTGTCTCTCCCAATTCCACACAGCCCTCTCCTCCTTTGCAGCTGTGTGTCATTCACAAGTCTGTTTCTGTGTCCCCTCTTCCTTTTCTTCTGTAGGGTGAGCCTGGCGCCATGGGACCCCAGGGACGACCTGGCCCTCCTGGCCATGTTGTAAGTGAAATTGTTTTTTTTATCTCTGTCTCTGAGCAAGTTAGGATTCAGGGGTGATTGGGCAAGCTGGTGGGCCCAGCCACAGGCTCGGTGTTAACCATGCTGAGATAAAAAGGGTCTCCCAGCTCATCTGACTGACCACTTTACTATTTTCTGGGCACATTCAAGGTCCCTTATCAGATGACGGTCTTTCAGTTACTCAACAAATAATTGAGCACCTGCTCAATGACCGTTCCAAGCTTTGGAGCAACAGCAGTGAGTGAGACGGAAAGGCCCAGGATCTCATGGCATTTCCCAGCAATCACAACAAACACATGAACTGGAGAGCATCGGGCAGTGACATGGTGTCACTGGGAGGGTCAGGGAGGGAGCTGGAGAAGAAGCCCTTGCTGGACAAGTGAGGCCTGGATCAGAGCAGTCTGGGGGGACAGTGGGAGATGCTAAAATGATCAGTAGAGCCACAGAGCCAAAGGCACAGAGCAGGAGGCCCAAGAACATCATTGTGGCTGGCGAGTTTGAGGAAGGGTCCAGTAGGACCCTGAAAGCTGAGCTTCGAAGACAGGAGAAGGCTCACAGACAGGGTTGGAGCCTGGGGTAGGTACACTCAGAGAGAAGTGGGTGGATGGAGAAGGGATGGAGGGCTGAGGGCTGGATCTGGGTTGTGTTTAAAGGTGAAGGACTTGCTGGGACCTGAATTGGGACAGGGACGGGGCAGAGGGTAGAAAGAGGAGCTGAGGGTGGCTCCTGTGTTTGGCCTGGCAGCTGGGTAAGTAGGTGGTGTGTTTATTGAGTTAGGGTGACCTGGAGAGGACTCTTTATTAAGCAACAACCAATTTCCCATCTGTGGCACACAAGACTGCCAATTGGTTCCTTTGATCAGTGTGACGGCTCCAAGCTGATGGGCTCCAGGAAACCAAACACACTGCCATTCCATTGCAGCCTGGCTGGCTCTGATTTCTAGAAGGACTTGGGAAAAATTAAAAATAATCCATAATGCCAGGCGATGAATCCTAGCTACTCAGGAGGCTGAGATCTGAGGATTGTGGTTCAAAGCAAGACTGGGCAGAATAAGTCCATGAGACTCATCTCCAATTAGCCATCAAAAAGCTGGAAATGGAGTTGTGGATCAAGAAGTAGAACAACACTGGCCTTGTGCAAAAAAGCTAAGAGTGCAAGGCCCTGAGTTCAAGCCCCAGTATTGACACAAAAAGAAAACAAACAACAACAACAACAACAACAAAAACCAATTTATGACTCCCAAAAAGGAAGACTCCTAGAGGGGAATGGAAAGTAGAGAGCATGCTGGTTCTTTTCTTTTTATTATTATTGTTGTTATTGTAGAGTTGGTATACAGAGGGGTTACAGTTACATGAATCAGGTAATGAGTACAACTCCTGTTGAACCATGTCTCCCCTTCGGTCACTGTCTTCTGGCTTTTCCCTCTCATTCCCACCCACAAATGTACAGTTTATTTTCCACATAGTGTCTAGAGAGTACCACTGAGGCCAAAGGAGGATATGCATAGGAGTGGCTGACAGAGGCTCAGCAGCTATGTGCATATGTTCATATAAAAAATATTTTATGAAATGGTTCTTTCTCTTACTCCTGTCTGTCCAGTCCAGGACTTCTACTGTGTGATAGTCGATCACAAGGATCTTAGATGAGGAGAACACAGGCCATGGCTTCTAGAACTTTCCTGCTGGGACTAGTGAAAGAAGGTGCTCTGACAGGGAACTGAGTGTCCTGGGGTTCAAGAGAAGGTGCCATTTTGACTAGGGAGAAGACATTTGAGCTGTGCAAGGATATTGGCCATCAGTAATGGGGTGCAGGAGGGAGTACTCCTGGAGGTTACCAGGGTACCAGCAGAGTGGGGAGAGGGCCCTGGTGCTCAGCTACAGAGCTTTTCCTTGTGGATATTGGGGGTCAGTGCTGAGCCCCTGCTAGGTGGACCTTCAGCTCCTGGCCTTCCCTCCCCCCTGGGCTGCTGACAGGGTAGCAGGAGTCTCAGAAGATGCCTAGGGATGCGGCTGCTACTTAGTTGCCTTACCTTTGCTCTCTGTACTGAAGAGCTGTGGCTCCCAGAAAATCCTCTCCCACACCAGGTACCGGTGGCTCACTCCTGTAATCCTAGCTACTCAGGAGTCTGAGATCTGAGGATCGAGATTCAAAACCAGCATAGACAGGAAAGTCTGTGAGACTCTTATCTCCAATTAACCACCAGAAAACTGGAAGTGGTGCTGTTGCTCAAGTGGTAGAGTGCTCACCTTGATCTGAAGAGCTGAGGGACAGTGCCCAGGCCCAGAGTTCAAGCCCCACAACTGACAAATAAACAAACATCCTCTCCCAGTCCCAAGCATGCCATTCAGTAAGCACTGGGCAGGATGGCAGGAAACTCAGGTCTGTGCTCTGGGCCCAAACCCATTAGAAGTTCAAATATAGGAGCTGAGGGGAAGGAAAGGTTTCTGGAAGAAAATAAAAACTAGTATCAAAGGGAGAAAACAGGGTTGGTCCTTCTGCCAGCCTTGCACCCCATGGGGTACTTACCGTTCACTTCCTCTTCCCCTGACTCCCCCTCTCTTTAGGGGCCTGCAGGGCCTCCTGGTCAGCCAGGCCCAGCTGGGATCTCTGCTTTGGTGAGTGACACTCTCCCCTTGTTCCTCCCCTTGCTGTCCTCCCGCTGTAGGACAGAGGACAACTTGTCACCAGCCTCTCAGCTGCCCTTAAAGACCACCCCCCACACACACACCTTTCTAGGATGTGGCAAAGGGCTCTGGCGATGGCTGGGGTCACACAATGGGCTGTCTGCCTCGGGTTCTGCAGTCTATTCTTCCTTCATGCCTTCAGCGTCTGTCTTTCCTATTCTCTAGGGACTGAAAGGAGACCGGGGAGCCCCTGGAGAAAGGGGCCTGGCAGGTCTCCCAGGCCAGCCTGGTACACCTGGACACCCTGGTCCCCCGGTAAGCCCCTCCATCTTACAGCACAGTCCAGCGGGAGGGTTTGCACTGTGCAGCAGGGGCTGGAGTGCGGCAGGTTAGCAACATAGAGCTTGGGCCTGGATATGGATCCCTACATACTGAGCAGCAGGCACTGTGCCTCTGGTGACCACCGCCATTCTGATGCAGGGCCCCCACAAGGTGTTAGGCAGAGGAGAGCCCGTCCCTCTTTTGCCCCTGCCTGATGGGAACTTGTCAGTTACTACAAAAAAAAAGAGTCTTTGAAAATGTCAGGAATGAGAAATGCCATGCCATTACTGTAATTCTCTCAGCTCCTCAGAAACCATGACTTGGTCTTAGCTTGTGTTTAGCACTAAGTGATGCTATGTTGGTCGCTTACTGTTGGCCGAATGGAGAGCTAAATGCCTGGCCTGCATTTTGTTTTAATATGGACTGCGGCCCCATCTGATTGTCCCTCCTTTACAGATGAGGAAACCGGGGCTCAGCAAGGCTAAGCAGGTTGTTCAGAATCACACAGCTAGCTAGTAAGGAGGAGTGTTGTGACTCCATCTCCAGCCAAGAACTTGAATCGTTTAGCCTGTCTGCAAAACTATTGTCTTCAAAATGTCCAGAGAGGGCCGGGTGGCTTGGCTTACGCCTGTAATCCTAGCTACACAGGAGCCTGAGATCTGAGGATTGTGGCTCAATGCAGGAAAACATCTGTGAGATTCTTATCTCCATTTAACCACCAGAAAGCTGGAGTGGAGCCATAGCTCAAGTGGTAGAGCACTAACCTTAAGTGAACAAGTAAAGGACAATACCCAGGCCCTGATTTCAAGGCCCAGTTCTGTTGACCCAAAAGCCTCCTGAGAAAGCTGAGGAGCCAGCTCGTCTAGCCCCAAGGATGCTTTCTACCAAGCAGCCTCTCTTCCAGGGAGGAGCAGAAATAGCCCTGAGGCTGGTAGCTTGAAATAGGGTGTATGATTCCAATTGGGTGGGAATGGTCAGTGGGCCCATTTGCCAGATCCACACACTCTGACTCCTGCAAAGAGACACAAACTATTTCTCCCCTGCAGAGCTCAGATGGCAGCAGCCAGGAGCTGTCAGCATGGGATCTGGGACCAGGCTAGAGAGTTAGTGGGGAAAGGCTGCAGGTTCAGGTTCTCATGGAATAGGGCCCGGTGGGCCTGACCTGTGAGGTCAGTTTGGGCAACAGCTCATCACATCTCTTTTCCTCAGGGGGAACCTGGTACAGACGGTGCAGCTGGCAAAGAGGTACCACTGGGCTGGAACCCTTTTCCTTTGGGGAGACTCTACCTTCCTCCTCTGCTTGCCTTGTGTCCCCTAACCCCCTCCCTTCCCCACTCCCTCCTGCTTTCATTCAGTTACAAGCATTCCTGTGTGCACAGACCAACTCTAGACTGAATCTGTATCCTCCTGTCCTACGTCTGTGGGCTCAATCAATCTTGGTTTGAAAATATTTAGAAAAAAAAATTACATCAGTATTGAACATACACAGACCTTTTTTTCTGGTCATTAGCTCCTAAACAATACAGTATTGCCACTACTTATATAGCAATCATACTTTATTGGATATTATATATGGCCTAGAGATGATTTTCAGTTATACAGGGAAATGTGTGTAGATGATAGGCAAATACTGTGTCATCTTAGAAAAAGGGACTTGAGTAGCTACAGGTTTGGGTCTTCATGGGGTCTTGAGATCAAGGCCTGCGGATGACTGTGCACTGGGGTCTGGTCACTCTTGTTGCTTCAAGGATAGGAACTGGAAACTAGGGGGCAAGCATGGCAATGTGCCTTGTCCTCCCCTTTTTATTTGGTTTGTTTTTATTCTGTAACTGGTCTGAAACTGAGTAATGATAATGCTCCAAATGTGTATTTCCTCAGCGCCATCTCTTACCTGGCCCTCCACCGCTCCAGATTGGCTCTCTCATTTGTCCCCCCTCACATACCTTTTTCTTTTTCCTCCTCCTCCTCCTCCTCCTCCTATGCCTCCTACTGTTCCTCTTCCTCCTCCTCCTCTTCCTCCTCTTCCTCTCCTCCTCTTCCTGCTGCTGCTCCTGCTGCTGCTGCTCCTCCTCATCGTCCTCCTCCTCCTCCTCCTGCTCTTCCTCCTCTTCTTCCTCCTCTTTCTCCTCCTCCTCCTGCTGCTGCTGCTTCTCCTCTTCCTCTTCCTCCTCCTCCTTCTCCTCCTTCTTCTCATCTGTGATGAGAATCCTAGACAACAGGACTAAGCAAAGCCATCTCCTGGGGACAGTATCCTCCCTTCCACCTGCCAGGGAGGCTCCTTTCCTTTCTCACACACTGCCTAGCAGGACACAGCCTGGGGTCTGAGTACTGGGAAGGGTGGTTTTTTCTGCCTCTTGGGAAGCTTGGAGGTGTAGCCCACACTTGACCTCTGATTTTCGCTTTCTTCTAGGGTCCCCCTGGAAAGCAAGGACTCTATGGACCTCCTGGTCCAAAGGTGAGTTGGGTGCTGGCTGGTTTTAGGAGACCATACTCATGAGGTGGTTAAACCCAGCTCCAACCTATTGCTTTAGCCTCACAGGAGACTCAGGAAGCCCAGTGAGCAGGGAGAAAGAGGCCATGGAGCAGGGCACTAGTGGTTCACTCCTGTAGTTCTAGCTGCTCAGGAGGCTGAGATCTGAGGATCACAGTTCAAAGCCTGACTGAGCAGAAAAGTCTATGAGACTCATCTTTCCAGTTAACCAGCAAAATGCTAGAAGTTGGAGGTGTGACTCAAGTGGTAGAGCACAAGCCTTGAGCAAAAAAAAAAAAAAACAAGAGAGAGGGGCTGGGAAGGTGGCTCAGTGGTAGAGCGCTTGCCTTGCCTGCCTGAGGCTCTGGGTTCGATTCCTCAGCACCACATAAGCAAAAAAAGAAAAAAGCAGGAAGTGGCGCTGTGGCTCAAGTAGTAGAGCACTAGCCTTGAGCTGAAGAGCTGAGGGACAACGCCCAGGCCCAGAGTTCAGGCCCCATGACCAGAGACCCCCCCCCCCAAAAAAAAAAAAAAAAAACCAAGTGAGAATGTGAGGTCCTGAGTTCAAGTCCTAGTACCAACACATACACACACATACACACACACACACACACCACACACAAGGGACCATGGAACCAGAGTTTTAGACCCCCAGGCCCAAACTCCAGGAATTCCATATCTGGCTCCTGGCTCATTTTTGCCAAAGATATATGGTTCTGGGCACTGAATGGAGATTACATGGTGTGGACACAGCACAGGAAGACAGCACTTCAGCCCATCTTCAGCAGTCTTGAGGATGTAGACTCTATGCTATGCTTAATAAGCTTCTTTTCTGCCAAGAGCCATTTGGATATTATAACATCATTCCTGGACTGTACAAAATTAACAATACAGACAGACTGGCCTCAAGAAGCTGTGGAGAAGTATAAATGCCTGGCCTATCATGTATCAAATTATTTCTCAGGCCTTATATGGCTCAAGGGTCAGATGCTCCCACCTCTGGCTTAAATAGACCAGGAACTGGGGGCAGGAGGCGAAAGGTATTCATGGTTGTAGAGTACCAGCCATAGGTTGGGCCTGGTTGACCATTATATGAGTCCTTATTTTAGCAAGGGTTCTGAATTGTTATGGTCAGGATATGGTCAGGCTAAACAGCCATCTTGCTTGGTGGGTGGCCTGTCCTGAGGACACTCTATTGTCTCTTAAAAGTAGTTTGGGCCTCCATAAAGATATTGTTTCTGGGGCTGGGAAGGTGGCTCAGTGGTAGAGTGCTTGCCTTGCACGCATGAGGTTCTGGGTTCAATTCCTCAGCATCACATAAGCAGAAAAAGCTGGAAGTGGTACTGTGGCTCAAGTGGTAGAGCACTAACCTTGAGCTGAAGAGCTGAGAGACAGTGCCCAGGCCCAGAGTTCAGGCCCCACAACCAACAACAAAAAAAAAGGGTATTTTTTTCCTCCATAAAGGTATTATGGATTAGTGATAAGTCCTGCTGAGATTCCAACATGATTGCAGAGTGCTTAGAGCAGTCACACACAACATAGATACACCAAGCTCCCCTCCCTCCTTTGTGTTTAGTTCATTAACAGGCCCGTGTAAGTAGTCAGTGCTTTTCAGCAAAAGCAACTTTAAAGCTGTTCCAGGCAGGACTTGGAGGAGTAACCTCTCTCCCAGTACTCACTGGACCATTTCTGATTCTTGGCTATGATTCCCTGTGATTGGAGGAACAAAGTCTGTTTTCATTCCCCAACTATCACTAGCTCTTGTTGGCTCTGGCTTGGCCTGGGTTAAGCAGATTCATAATCAATGGCACCTGGCGCAGTCCAGTCACACCAATGCTGGATTTCACAGAAGACTGGGGTCTAGGGAGGGTACTCAGTCCCACCAGGCATAAGGATAAGAGGTAGCTTTTCAACACACTGTGGAGAAGGGTTGGGGCATTTCAAGCTGCAAGGACTCAGGATGGCAGACTCAGAATGATAACTGGCAGTGCTGGCTGGAGGCACAATACCAGGATCCCAACAAAGGGCCTTGCTTATCTGGCCAAGGAATTGAACCTTCATACTGAGGGGGGGTGGGAGCTTTATCAGCAGGGAACAGTGCCATAAAACTACCTTCTAGAAGGACTGTGAGATGGAGAATGGGGGCGACCTGTGGTGCTGTGGCCCCAATCCAGAAATGGATACTGGAGACTCTCTGGAAGATGGAGAAGGGATGGATTGCTAAAACAATGTGACACAGACTTGACCACACTTGGTAATGCTGGGACATGTGACCTGCCATCTCTGTAGGGTGATCCAGGACCTGCAGGACAGAAGGGCCAGGCTGGAGAGAAAGGGAGATCAGGCATGCCTGGCGGCCCCGGCAAAAGTGGTTCCATGGGTCCAGTTGGGCCACCAGGTCCTGCAGGAGAGAGAGGCCACCCTGGGTCTCCAGGGCCTGCAGGGAGCCCTGGATTGCCTGGTATGCCCGGCTCCATGGTAAGTAGAGACAGGCCACCAGGGGCACTCCCCCCCCCCCCCCCCCCCCCCCCCGCCAGAGCAGGCACGTGGCTTGTGTCATTTCAGAGGCTCCCGTTGACACTCTGCAGGAAAGGCTCTCAGCTGGGGGCAGGGGTGGGACAGGCTGCTTACAGACTGCTCTCACCAGCCTTCCGAGCCTCAGCACACAATGGTTTATACCCCTGGCAGGGTGGGTAGGACTCAAGACAAAGATGTGTGGGAGGCACCTGGAACATATCCAGTCTGTTCCCAGGGGAAAGCACCAACCTTTGATGGTGTAACTTAGGCAAGGTTTTCTCCTTTTTCCTCAGGGAGACATGGTGAATTATGATGAAATCAAGAGATACATCAGACAAGAGATCATTAAAATGTTTGATGGTAATTGGTAGCCAGCTGGGGGCAGTGGGCACCACTTGGCCTTTCCAGTCATTTCTCCACCCACCCTGGCCTCCCTTTCTTTTCTTCTTTCTTTCTTTCTTTGGTCCGCTGTGGGGCTTGAACTCTGGGCCTGGGCGCTATCCCTCAGCTCTTCAGCTCAAGGCTAGCACTCTACCACTTGAGTCACAGCACCACTTCTGGCTTTCTCTATTTATGTGGTGCTGAGGAATCGAACCCAGGGCCTCATGCATGCAAGGCTAGCACTCTACCACTGAGCCACCTTCCCAGCCCCTGGTTTCCCTTTCTTAACTCCTCAGTGGCCATCCCTCTGCCCCTTGCTCTCCACACTTATGGACAGATGAGAAACAGGCTCTATGTTCAGCTAAATGGGGACCTCCCTCATTACCTGCTCTGCTCAATGATAAAATGACTTCCTCCTGCCCTTCCCAAGTCCCCACTTGAACAAAGGAAAATTGATTTCAAATAAGTAAGCTCCCAAGTGGAAGGGGTGTCACCAATGTAAGGCAGCTGTTGGGGTTTGGTTTAACCTTTTTACTCCCTATTCATTTGTTCATCCAACATTGTTGTGCTGAGGGCTGGGGGAAACACAGACCCTGTCCTGGAGGGGCTGGGCGTCCTGATTGGGAAGGACACATGTCTGAACTTCCTTCTGAAGCCAGTGGTGAACCAATGAAGGAGGTTAGGTATGAGAGATGCTACAATTAGATGTGTGCTTCCGAAAGGTGGGATGGAAAGCAATGTGGAAGTTGGGTGCTGGTGGTCTATATCTATAATCCTAGCTATAGGAGGCTGAGATCTGGGGATCATGATTCAAAGCCAACCCAAGCGGGAAGGTCCATGAGACTCTTACCTCCAATTAACCACACACACACACACACACACACACACACACACACACACACACACACACACACACACATACACACACACACACACACACAGAGAAGTAGAACTGTGGCTCAAGTGATAGAATGCCAGTCTTAAGAGGAAAAACTTGGAGACTGTACCCAGACCCTGAGTTCAAGCCTTAGTACCAATGTTGACAAAAATAAAAAGTAAAATTAAAAAGCAATGTGGAGGCACAGGATACTGCTTAACTAAGTGACCAACCTCCATGTTCCTTGCCCTCATGTCCCTTGGAAAGAAGATTGTTCCATGTTGGTAGCATGCCTGCAGCACCTAACAGCCATTCTGAGGTGTCTGGTCTCCCTGTGACACATCTTTGTCTTTACAGAGAGGATGGCTTACTACACCTCCAGGATGCAGTTCCCCATGGAGGTGGCAGCAGCGCCTGGCCGGCCAGGGCCTCCAGGCAAGGATGGTGCTCCAGGTCGGCCAGGTGCTCCAGGCTCGCCCGGGCTCCCTGGTCAGATCGGCAGAGAAGGACGTCAAGGCTTGCCAGGAATGAGAGGTAGCTCTGTCCTCTAGGTTCCAAGGTGGGGTTTGCCTGAGCATTGCATGCAGCCTTTTGTGAGTATGGCTTTTGTGGGTGTGTTTCAAGCAATCTGACTGGCTATGTCATTTTCCTGCTCAGGGATAAGACCTCTTATTTTCTTTTGTCCCAGGGTTGCCTGGTACCAAAGGTGAAAAGGGAGACACTGGTGTTGGCATTGCAGGAGAAAATGGTCTCCCTGGCCCCCCAGGTAGGAAAACTCAGTGCTTGACATGAATCTGGAGCAGCAGAGATTCCCTTTATGTTCCTCCAACAACATAGCTATGTGGACTCCAAATAACTAGAGGCCAATCAACCACCATTTGCAGTAATGCTGCCATGTTGGGATGGTCTGCTAGAGCTGTGGAGCAGGGCCGGGGGAGGGGTGGGTAGAAGGACCAGGGTTTGCTCTTAGTCCTAAACTGTGCTAGCATGATGTAGTGGGAGAGAGCCATACATGATGGGGGCCAAGAACCCCAAGTGGGACGCTTGGCATCCCACTGGTGGTATAATCTTGAAGAGGTCACTTTAGCCCTTAGGGGTAACGTGTCTGTGTGCGCGCGCGCGCACGTGCGTGCGTGCGTGCGTGCGTGCGTGCGTGCGTGTGTGTGTGTGTGTGTGTGTGTACACTAGGGCTTGAACTCAGGGCCTGGGTGCTGTTCTTAAGCTCAAGGCTGGTATTCTATCACTTGAGCCATGGCTCTACTTCCAGCATTTTGGTAGATAAGAGTCTCATGAACTTTTGTGCATGATCCTCGGATCTAGGATTATAGGTGTGAGCTTCCAGTGCCCAGCTCAGGGGTCAATCTTTAAGGTGTATATATGTGTATGTGGCTGCGGAGCCTGAAAGACAATGGCTAAAGTCTGATGACCTGTCTCTGAGGACCATGTTCACTACTGTCCTGGTATACAACCGCTGAGCCTGCACCCTTACCTACAAAATTAGACAATAGTTCTTTCCTCAGGAAATTGTGCTGTGGCTTCCAGAACTAATACATGAAAGCACTCAGCCCATGCCTGGCACGTAGAAGCTGTCAATGAGACTGTCCTTGTTGGGTCAATGTAAGCGTCAGATAGGAGCTCATGAAGATGTGTTGCAGCCTGAGAAATAGGCATCAAACGGATCCATTACTTACCGTGACCACTGTTTCATCTTTTCTCGTTAATTCTGGGTCTCCTGATTTGCCTTCTGTAACTCTTTCCTTCCAGGTCCCCAAGGGCCCCCGGGATATGGCAAGATGGGTGCAACAGGGCCAATGGGTCAGCAAGGCATTCCTGGCATCCCCGGGCCCCCAGGGCCCACAGGCCAGCCAGGCAAGGCTGGCCACTGCAACCCCTCAGACTGCTTTGGAGCCATGCCTATGGAGCAGCAGTATCCACCCATGAAAAACATGAAGGGGCCTTTTGGCTGAAACTGCCACCTGCCGTGAGACGAAGAACTCCATTGGGAATAAATGGCCTCGGCTTACGGGACTCCGGGATGGGTTGTGAATGTTTGTGCTGTTGATATTGTCATTGTTGTTCTTTGCTGTTAATATTTTTTTAAACAATAAAGAAACAAAACTGTCTACAATCCCACATCAGTGGGGTTCTTTGGTGCTGAAGCCAAATCTCTCTGTCATCTTCCTTTTCCCATTTGGTCCCAGAATCACAAAAGAGCATGCCCCTCATCTCATTGTCAGATGTCAGCCAGAGGAGTTAAGGGGGGGTTGTGAAATAGGGTGTCCCCTGCCCAGCTCCCTCTCCAGATGTTCTGATTCTGCCTTTGGGCCCTTGTTCTGTCAAGTTAGGGAAGGAGCAAACTCAGCCTCACCTCTAAGGGGAGTCAAAGCAGGCCTGGAGACCCTACTTATAGCTCATAAAGGCCCCCACCATTTGTTTCCCTAAGGAAGCCAGTGCTGGGTACCCCACCACCCTTCGCCCAGCCTCTTTGCTTCCTGTTCCCCAAATCTGATCCATCTTACACCTTGGGAGATGCCACTTGATCCTGAGGTGTGTTCACCTACTTAAAAGCCCCTCTGAACACACAAGCATTTCTCAATGCACCAGTAAACCTGCAATTACAAAAACCTGACAAACAGGAGGAAAGATAGGCTCTAGCCGCTGCTCAGGGAACCTGGGAATGCTTCTCCGGGAAATGAGATGGAGCCTCCCACCTGTCCTGATGCATGACACCATCAGCCATGCTCCAGCAGTGACTTTCTCGACCACAAATGGCATCTCTTGTTATTCAAACGTGTGGTCCTTTTCCTGTCTGTCTTAGCCTCAGCCTTCAGAAATAGCCCTGTTGGATCTGTAAGATGGGGTCCCAGGCAGCAATGATCTAAGCCTGTGGTCCTCAAAGCCCACTGCAGGTTTGGTGATTCACCTTCTGTCATCTGTATGTAAAAAGGACAAGAAGGGGAAGAAAAAGGGAATTGAACATTATAGGAACATTCTATTGCAAGTTTCTGCCTCTACATTTCAGATCACTACTCCTGATGGGCTGGCGACCCTGTTAGAAAGCAACAGGGCACTTCCAGGAAGGAGACTTCCACAGAAAGGATTTTTTTTCCACTGGCTCCGGCCTTCTGGAAGGTTTATTCAAGTTGGATAAACTTCAAAGGGATCACAGAGAAAGCTCAGAAATATACTCCAAGTCTAGATGTTTATCTGAACTGCCAGAAGCCTCCAAGCCGGCTGTCAAATCTCCCCAGATCTGGTGTTTCTAGCACCTTTCTGAATATTCCCTTCAGTAGTTGGGCATAAGCCTATGCTTGGTTTAGAACCTTTGCCCTATTTTTTTTCTTGCCAGGGGCAGAGGTATGCCAGTGGACAGACAATGACATGCAGCTGGCTCCAGAGCATGTGTGAGTGCCTCCCATGCTGTTTTTAGATACAGAGGAGTCAATTCTTGTTTCATCTCTCCCCAGCAATTCTTAACCCTGCTTCTAACAGAAAACATTAAAAAGCAAATACATCATCTTAGTATTTGAAGTAGCAGCCAGGTTTTTGGGCAGTGGATAAGGACAGATGTTAAAACACTCCCACTGGAAGGCCAGTTTCCACTCTCAGCCAGGCTGTGAGGCGGACGGATGATAGACTCCGTGATTAGGAGCCTGTTGGCGTGAGTAGGAAGAAAAGTGAAGGCCAGCTGTTGAATGGAGCAGGGTTGGCTCAGAAGGCCAGAAGGGAAAATTGCCCTGAGCCAATATCAAACTCATCCTCTTTTCCAGGGTCCCCAGGGAACGAATCCTTACAGAGTAAATAATGTTTCCTTCACTTTTCTTCCAGAGTCCAATTCATGGTACTCTTTGGGGATTGTACGACAGACTAGGTTTAAAGCTTTCATCATTGGAGTGCTTGTTTCCCTGGAGTTTGAAATTGTGCTGTATTTTCTTGGACCATGAAGAACCAGATGGGAAGCTGAATTTTATAGTCTCTTCTCCTTCTATGGTCAGAAAAAAAAAATCTGTGGGTCTTGCACATCAGTTCAGGAACTGGGTAAGCTGGAAAGAAAAAGAAGAAAGAAGGAGGGGCACTTGCCTTCGCTTTTCTTAGGCAGCCTTTCCCATTCCTACCCCATTATTCTTCTGTCTTCATTTTTTTAGTCGATTTCAGGCTCTTAAGGCAACGCAGGCAGCATTCAGATTGACAAAAATCTAACTTGATGAGTCTATTTCCTCTTCCTACTTTGTGCTGAGAGCTGTACTAGGCTCTGGGGAGTCCTGAGGCAAACTAGACAGATATGTCTGGGGGTGGGAGGGAGCAGACAGTTAAGAAAGCAGTATAAAATGGGATGCTGGGACAGTACAAGGCACCAGAGACTGCATTGTTGCGGGGTCCTGATGTGTTTAGACAGATCGATCCAGGCAGAGGGGACAGCCTGTGCTGAGGTCCAGAGATGACTGGTCACAGCAGGCATTGGGATGGGACATGGGCTACTGTAGTTGGATTGCTGAGCATAGCACTAATGGGTTTTACACAGAGTTTTGTCTAGTGGGGAGTTTGCTGATGGTAATGAGGAGAATGGACAGAAGGGTGCTTAATTTGAGACTCCTTCTGGCCTGAAAGAATGGAAAAAACTGCTAGGAGCTGGTGGCTTTCGCCTGTAATCCTAGCTACTTAGGAGGCTGAGATCTAAGGATCCCAATTTGAAGCCAGCCCAGGCAGAAAAGTCAATAAGACTCTTACCTCCAAATAATGAGCAAAAAAAGCCAGAAGTGGATCTGTGGCTCAAGTGGTAGTGCCAGCCTTGAGTGAAAAGCTAGGGCTAGTTCCTAGACCCTGAGATCAAGCCCCAGTACTGGCATTAAAAAAATGGAGAAAAGGCTGTTGTATATTCTGTGAAGAACCCCATCCAAATTTTATGTTTTCTGGAATTTAAATCTTGTTTTTGTCCTTGTTTCCTTGGTTTCCTTGGTCACCACAAGTCAACAGATGCCAACTAGATTTTCTTCACCTGTGGCCTATTAACCCCTTACAAACCTTAACAAAAATGTCCTGGGTTGTTTATAGGAATGGAACGTATCAATGTACTCTTGTAATTTCCTAATGGAAAGGTAGTTGGCCCAATTGCCACGTCTGCTGTTCTCATTTCTTTGGTTGGTTCTGTGAAAAGCTGCAAATCACCCTCCAATCTACAAACACCAACTGGAATCTCAATTTTAGAACTAGATCTAGTTGGAATCAAAGAGAATTAATTCCATAATAATTAGGTGGATGTTGGCATTCCTTCTCAGAAAGTCATACAGGAGCTTGGCACCCAGCTAGGGGGCCTGAGGGAGACTGTGTCTCTAGGGGAGGTACTACTTTTCATTGTCTGGCCCTTCCATTATCAACTTCAGCCTCACATCTGATGATGGGTTGACAATGGAGCTTCTATGAACTCCGAAAAGAAAATACTCTATGCTCTCCAAAGGGCTGGAGTCCAAGTTTCCCCCTTTTGGCTAAAACTGAAACAATCATAGGAACATCCCTATGTTCCTCTGTCTGCCTCAGGTAGTTGAGGTTTTGTGAAGTGAGTTGATTGTTTTTTTAGTTTTTGGAAGATCCAGATCTATGTCTCTTTTAGCTTCCTCCAAAATAAACACACCTGGACCTCCAAGATACAGCCTGGATGTTGGCTTTGGTTGATGTCTGACTGCTCTCCCTTGCCTCCCATCCCCAACCCCCAGCACCCCATAGTGAAGATATTCAACTGCAAGTTCTCCTTAGCCTTTTTCTGGGGTAGAGGTGAGCCAGGGAAAGAATTCTCATAAGCAATGAGTTCTCAACACCTAGAACAACAGCCTGGTGAGTGGAGAGAATGTAATAGACTAACGTGTTTGTGGAATGAGTGTGCCATCATAGAACTTGTTTGTAGCCAGCTGTTGCCATTCTCTCTGGGTAAACATCCCCTTGACCTTTACCCCATACTTCAGAATTTCTTCCCTTCTAAGATTTTGCAACTGAATTTCAGCAATATTTCTTGGGTTGTAGGGTTATAAAGGTGAGAAGCTACCGTAACAGGGGCTTAGAGGTGGACCTGCAGATGACACATGGGTAAGTCAAAGCAAGATAAAGCCTTGACGTTTCTGCCTTCATTTCATATCTATCTCCTTTTATTACCTCAATTCCTGCTCTACTCTGCACGTAGGCTTGTACACGTAGGCATGTTAATCATTTATGGAATGCTTATCTGAAACTGGTAATCTTTCACTTTCTAGGCTGAAGGCACCAAGATAAAGAGTAAGATATTTTCGAGATTTATAGGGATATCATTAATAAACTGACAACTATCAGCTTTTTTTTTTTTTGGTCAGTCCTGGGGCCTGAACTCTGGGCCTGGGCACTGTCCCTCAGCTCTTCAGCTCAAGGCTAGCGCTCTACCACTTGGCCCATAGCTCCACTTCCAGCTTTTTCTACTTATGTGGTGTTGAGGAATCAAACCCAAGGCCTCATGCATGCAAGGCAAGCACTCTACCACTGAGCCACCTTCCCAGCCCCAGCTTTTTTTTATTTTTAAGTTGATCCTGGATCTTGAACTCAGGACCTGGGCACTCACTGTCCTTGAGCTCTTTTGCTCAAGGTTAGTGCTCTACCACTTTGAGCCACAGATCCACTTCCAGTTTTTGAGTGGTTAATTGGAGATTGGAGTCACACAGGGAATTTTCTGCCGGGGTTATCTTCAAACTTCAATCCTCAAATCTCAGCCTCCTGAGTAGCTAGGGTTATAGCTGTGTGCCACCAATGCCTAGCTTCAGCTTTTTTTTTTTTTTTTTGAGATAGGGTCTTACTATGTATTTCAGGCTGACCTCAAACCATCAATCTTCCTGCCTCAGCCTCTGGACTGCTGGGGATTACAGGCTGTGACATTATGCCCAGAACAACTTCCAGCTTTTAGTCTTCTGTTCTAGACCACCAGAGCAGTACCTCAAGTGTCATATCACTGCCTTAAACCTGAAGAAGGGCCCAGCTGTTGACCTAACAAACTCCATCTTGCTTTGTGACTTGTTTCTATGAGTCCTGCACTCCTTCAGGCACCTTAGGTTCCAAGAACAACAGGCCAGATTGATAAACATTTGAAACAAGCCAAAACTATCCTCAAGCAGGTGATTTTATCCTGAGATAAAAATCAGCCACAGACCACAATTTGACCAAGACTGTTGATGAAGGATAATTCTTGCCATTTGTTCTTCTCTTTTTTTTTTTTGTCGGTCCTGGGGCTTGAACTCTGGGCCTGGGTGCTGTCCCTCAGCTCTTCAGCTCAAGGCAAGCACTCTACCACTTGAGCTACAGCGCCACTTCCAGTTTTCTGGTGGTTTATTGGAGATAGGAGTCTCACGGTCTCTCCTGCCCGGGCTAGCTTTGAACCATGATCCTCAGATCTCAGCCTCCTGAGTAGCTAGGATTACAGGCGTGAGCCACCAGCGCCCGGCCATTTGTTCTTCTCTTATATAACACCCCCCACCTGCAAAACAAACAAACAAACAAAAAAAAACAAACCTATTGTTAGCTCCTCAAAAGCAAAAAGCAACACTCAGGACAGTAGCCCCCTTCCAGAGTGGTCATATTGAATAGGTTCCCTTATTCACGATCACTTTTTTTTTCTGTTTGGTCTTTTGTAGTGAGTAACTAGACTTAGTTTGTAGAGATTCCCCAGAACCATGCCTCTGGCTGAGGACTCTTGTGACATTGTAACCTAGTATTAAGTAATGAGTAGTTAAATAGTACGAAATTGGGTTCATATCTTCTCTCCATTTTTTTTTTTTTTTTGTCAGTCGTGAGGCCTGAACTCTGGGCCTGGGCACTGTCCCTCAGCTCTTCAGCTCAAGGCTAGCGCTCTACCACTTGAGCCACAGCACCACTTGCAGCTTTTTCTTTTTGCTTATGTGGAGCTGAGGAATCGAACCCAGGGCCTCAGGTATGCAAGGCAAGCGCTCTACCACTGAGCCACCTTCCCAGCCCATTGAGTACATTTCTTATCAAGCATTGTTGCCTCCTTTGTTCCCTTTCCCATCCCTTCCCATCACCCTCCTCCCCTGACCTCCCCTCCTTTTTTTTGAGACAAGAATTTCATAATGTAGTGAGGAGGAGTGAGGGAGGTGGGAGAGGGAGGGAATAGCGGGAGAACAACAAGGGAGGGTAACAATGCTCAACAAGAAATGTACTCATTGCCTGACTCATGTAACTGTAACCACTCTGTACAGCATCTTTACAAAATAAAATTAAAAATAAAAGAATTTCATAATGTAGCTGAAGCTGTCTTTGAACTAGAAATCCTACTTCAGCCTTCCAAGTGCTGAGATTACAGATATGTGCTACCACGCCCAGCTCGCCATTTATCTTTTCAATATTAAGGAAGTCATTTAGCTTTGTTCAGCCCAGTTCATTATAAATGGGTAATATTATTTATCTCAAGACTGTGGTGAAAATTAAATGGCATGTAGTACTTAATGCATGCATAATTATGGTAATAATAACCACTAACATTTATTGGATTATTAATGCCAGTCTCTATTCTAGATGCTGGAGATAGGGGGGTAAATAAGAAAAGGACAACCTTACCACATGTATAAACCTTAAAGAGGACAATTCAAGTAGTGACAGGCAATTAGGAAAAAATAAGATACAGTGGTATAATATATGGCTGAAGGAGGCAGTGTACTTTAGATGTGAATCAAGAAATCCCCTGCTAGGTGCTGGTGGCTCACATGTAATCCTAGCTACTTGGGAGGCTGAGATCTGAGAATCATGGTTCAAAGCCAGCACAGGCAGGCATGTCTGTGAGACTCTTACCTTCAATTAACCATCTGGAAACTGAAGTGGAGCTGTGGCTCAAAGTGGTAGAGCGCTTACCATAAGCAAAAAAGCTCAGGGAAAGAGCCCAGCTCTGAGTTCAAGGTCCATGATCAGCAAAGAAATACTCCACTAATACTCAACTAAGACCTGGATGCAAGGAAAACCAACCCATGGAAAGTGGGGAAAGAATTTTCTAGGCAGAGGGAGTCTAAACACTTGAAAAGGCAGGAATTAGCTCAGTTACTTTTTTTTTTTTTTTGGTCTGTCATGGGTCTTAATTCTGGGCCTCGGCACTGTCCCGGAGCTCTTCAGATCAAGGCTAGCTTTCTACCACTTGAGCCACAGTGCCACTCCGGTTTTCTGGTGGTTTATTGGAGATAAGAGTCTCACGGACTTTCCTGGTTTTTGAACCACGGTCCTCAGATCTCAGCCTCCTGAGTAGTCAGGATTACAGGTGTGAGCCACTAGCACCCAACTTTTTTGTTGTTGTTGTTACATTCTAATGTTGAGTTGGACCTAAGGGGTGGTGACCAAGTCAGTAAAGGCAGAAATAAGATAGTAATGGCAGAAAGTAGGACTGGTGATTCAAGCAAGGTTCAGATCATGGACAGCCTTGAAGGTCATGAGTTTGGATTTTATTATGAGTGATGGAAAAGAACCTTTACCAAAATAAAATATTTCATGTAGTCCAACAAATAAAATGTCAAACAGGGGGAAAAAGTGATGGGAAACCCTTGGAGGAGTTTAAGCCAAGAAACGACATCATCTGATGTCACATTTTAAGAATCTGAACTCTTCTGGATGCCGGTAGCTCATGCCTGTAATCCTAGCTACTCAGGAGACTAAGATCTGAGGATCAAGATTCAAAGCCAGCTCAGGCAGTAAAGTCTTAGCTCCAATTAACCACCAGAAAACTGGAAGTGGTGCTGTGGCTCAAGTGGTAGAGCGGCTCTCCTTCAGCTGAAGGGCTCAGGGGCAGCGCCCAGTCCCAGACCAACAGAATTAAATCAGAACTCTGGCTGCCCTACGGAGAATGCCTGCTTAGAACTCGGCAAATTAATCAAATAAGCATGCAAAAAAAAAAGTATAGGAACCCAAAGAAGTATGTGATCTTTATTTTATTCCGTGACTGGGGTTTGACCTTCTAAGGAGACATCAATCTAGACTTCCTTGCTGAAGCATCCGCTGACCCCAGTTCTAGGCTGCATTTTGTTGTGAACCAGGACAGGCAAGTCATTGACTTTCAGGCCCTGTTTCCCCATTATGAAGAAAGAGGCACGAGATAATCTAATTTTCTTCGTGCGTCTCCGGGTCTTGACACGGGAGGAAGCCTTCCGCCTTCACCATCACCCTTCCCAGGAGGTCTTGCTTAGTTCTCGTAAGTCTCAGCAACGGCGGGGGCGGGAACCCGGCGTGACGACAGCGATTGCACCACTGGCAAGCGTCCCAATTGCCAGGTTAGAACATGGCCGACGCAGCAACACCTGGCCCGGGCTTCTCACTAAGGATCCTGGCCTGATCGATCCCGGGGCCATCTTCTAGGTCCGGGAAGGGAGAAACAAGCGCTCTAGTAAGACCACCAGCAGTTCCGGAGACCCCATCTGGCCCCTAGCTCCTCTAGTCTGTGCTTAAGGCACACGCCCACCTCCCTGGGCGTCACTTCCGTTATCTGACCTCACAGAGGATTGACATTCTGAACGTCCAATCAAAAGCAAGTTGCGCACCCCACCCTTCCTACCCTTCCCCTCCCCCCGCCCCATCCCCCTGCGCCGCGAGAGGAGGCTTTGAGAGCAGGAAGCCCCGCCTTCCACCAGCGTGTGACGTCAGAGTCGCCATGGCCAGCTATCCTTACGGACAGGTGAGTGAGTGTGGAGCCCGCGAATCCAGGTAGAGGCTAGAACAAGTCCAGACTCGCCCCCTCTCCACCTCTGGCGTCGCCCTCCTTTCTTCCTACTTTCTCCTTGGTCTTTCACGGCGACATTCCATCAGCGAGGCCTCGCGCCGGAGGGGGGAGGAGGGAATGTCAGTTGCTCCCGGCGTACGTCACTCAAGACCACGCGTCGGAGAGGTGGTGTAGCGCCCCTTGTGACGTTGTTACGCACGCGAGGATTTGGGGACGCTGGGCCCTGCGCAGCCAGGCCGGGCCGCTGGGTACTCTGGTGTCCTGAGGCCCTGGGAATGCCCCTGGCGGAGTCGCCAGCGTTCCCTGGGCGTTTAGACCTTTGCTTCCATCAGTTTCATTTAGGGCGTGGGATAAAAACAGGTTCCCCCACTCATCCCACACCCTCTGCGGCAGAGTGCGCTGGAGAATCTGGTTGTTGGCAGTGCCACAAGGGTGCCAACTGTCCCAACATCACTGCATGTGCAGGAAAAGTGAAACCCACAGAAAAAGGGGAACGTACCCCAGGTCACTAGGTAGTCAGGCAGCAGAGCCAAGATTAGAGCCCAGGTAACTGCTGCTTGCCGGACTGTTCAACCAGCCAGCAACATCATGCCAATGAGCTTCTGGCTCATTCTTTGTAGAATTCTGACTCAATTTGGAGTCAGCAGTAGGGCCACGTCTTGGCCCCAGTACTTAAGTAGTTAATAGTTTTGAGCCCTTGAGTAAGATACTTTGCCTTTGAGTCAGTTTCCTCTGCTGAAATAGGACCAGATTAAGAAGGATCTACCTTCTAGAGCTATTATGAAGAATAAGTAGGTGATGTTTGCAAAGCATTTGGTACATAGTAAGATAATGTGTTGCCTTTCAACATTTTGGTTTTTACTAAACTGCTAGTGGTTTTACTAGATTTCTCATTTTATAGAGGAGGAAACCATCCTAAAGGCTGCCCAAATCACACAGTAATTTAGGAAATCAAACTCCTGCAGGAAAATAAAGTTGGCAAACAAAGGATATTGTATACAAGAAGATAAATATATTAAGGTCCTTGCATGAAGTGTAACCTTGTACAGTTTATGTACCAGTTGGTCCTCAAATCATGAAGGCACTATAGGGTATGTTGAAATTACCAACCCCAGTGTACAGCCAAGTAACAAGCCCAGAGAGATGAAGTGTCTTAAAGGATTCACCTAGGGAGGGTGTGGATGGGGGGTGGGAGCAGGGAGGAAGAGCGTTGAGTCCATGGCTGTAGCTCTGAACTCCTTCCACTGCAAACCTAAGAGCTAGAGTGAACTGGGGACTGAGGATAGGAGGAAGGATACCAGCAATGTTACCCAAACTTCATTCCATTTTCTAAGTCCTGCTAATGGGTATTGCTAAGAAGAGAATTCTATGGTCAAATAAGTTTAGTGAATACTCTTTTCAGTACATCTGGATAACTTCATCTTAAGGAATTCTTTTTTTCTTTTTCTTTTCTTTCTTTTTTTTTTTTTTTTTGGATCCAGTCGTGGGGCCTGAACTCTGGGCCTGGGCGCTGTCCCTCAGCTCTTCAGCTCAAGGCTAGCGCTCTACCACTTGAGCCACAGCGCCACTTCCGTCTTTTTTCTTTTTGCTTATGTGGTGCTGAAGAATCAAACCCAGGACCTCAGGCATGCAAGGCAAGCGCTCTACCACTGAGCCACCTTCCCAGCCCCATCTTAAGGAATTCTTAACTTGCCAATGTCTATTGTAAATCTTCCAGAAAAGAATAGACTATATAGTATTCTTACAACTTATGTAACCATGGAATTCCACTGAAGAACAGGAATTCTTCCTGAAGAACACAGTTTGGGAAACATTGCCATAGTGCACTATGTCTTAGTGGTCTGCATCAGAATTACCTGAGTGCATTTTTGAGTCACATATAAGACCTACTGTGTGCCCTGGAATCTCTATCTTTTTTGTTGTTGGTGGTTGTGGGCTTGAACTCTGGGCCTAGTTGCTGTCCCTGATCTCTTCAGCTCAAGACAAGTGCTCTACCACTTGAACAACAGCACCACTTCTGGTTTTTCTGGTGGTTAATTGGAGATGAGTCTCACGGACTTTCCCTGCCGGGACTGGCTTTGAATCTTGATCCTCAGATCTTAGCCTCTTGAGTATCTAGGATTACAGGCATGAGCCACCGGCACCTGGCTAGGAATCTCCCACTTAATAAGTTTTGGGGATGATTTTATGTATCCTAGAAGCAGTGAGAAGTTAGAACTGTACTAGAATCCTAATGCTACTGTTTAGTTATTATTCTTCACAACTAAAGCAGTGGTGGAGAAACTTTTTTTCTTCCAAAGGCCATGTGGATATTTATGACATCATTCGCAGGCCATACAAAATTGTCAAAAATATAGCCAAATGGCCACAACAGATGATAGAAGCATACATATCTGTCCCAAAAGATTTTGCCACATTTACCCTCATCACGCCATGCTACCTAGCTTTCTGCTTGGAATGAGATATTCAAAAGGTTCACGGAAAGGAAAGTGTCAGGAATAGAAGAAACGGTACCTTCCCCCTCTCGCCCCACCCCACACCTTACTGTTGTCAGCTTCCTCATTCCAGCCATGCTAGCAAGGGAAACTGGTTGTTTTAAATTGTCCAGTGGCTTTGTCAGTGCTGCCTCCCCTCCACCTACTACATAGCCCTGGGGGTGGGTTCCAGCCTGTTGCAAAGTCACAATTCCTGTAAATTTCCACATCTCCAGCCCAAGTATTCAAGCGTAGTTTGGATGTTTGGTCCCTTGGTGTCTTCAGAGCTTGATCTCTGAGGCCAGAGAGACTTGACTTTAAAATCTTTGGTCTGCTATTTGCTTACAGAAGTTTGTTGCAAGGGTCTGAAGCTCAGTTTCCCCTTCTTTTATTTTTTATTTTTATTTTTTGCTCATGGGGCTTGAACTCTGGCCCTGGGTACCTCAGCTCTTCAGTTCAAGGCAAGAACTCTACCACTTGAGCCACAGTACCACTTCCGGTTTTTCTGGCGGTTAATTGGAAATGAGTTTCACAGCCTTTCCTGCCCGGGCTGGCTTTGGGCCTTGATCCTCAGATCTCAGCCTCCTGAGTGGCTAGACTACAGGCATGAGCCACCAGCGCCTGGCTTTCCCCTTTTAGATTGAGACCATAATAGTGCCTACATAGTACCTTGTTGTAAAGATTAAATGAGGTAAGCCAGGTGCTGGTGGCTCATGCCTGTAATCCTAGATACTCTGGAGGCTGAGATCTAAGGGTCTCAGTTCTAAGTCAGCCTGGGGAAGCAAAGTCCATGAGACTCTTACCTCCAATTAACACCAAAAAGCCAGAAGTGGAGCTGTGGCTCAAGTGGTAGAGCCAAAACCTTGAGCAAAAAACTAAGGGACAGTGCCCAGGCCTTGAGTTCAAGCCCCAGAACCATCTCTCTCTCTCTCTCTCTCTCTCTCTCTCTCTCTCTCTCTCTCTCACACACACACACACACACACACACACACACACACACACACACGATTAAATGAGATAATCCACGTCAAGTGCTTGACATTATGTGTGGTGGTGTGAAGTAAATTCTGCACATGGGAGGAATGCAGGTATGTAGGTTGTAGGCTCAATGTATTGGTACTAAGGGAATAATTGTAAGGCCCTAAGACACACAGCAGAAGCACACCTTGTCTACCAGAGGCCACAGACTGAATCACCAGAAGGAGTTAGCTGGGTGAAGAAAGAAATTGTATTCCGATAGATGAAATAAATTCACAAATATTCTAATAGATGAAATAAATTCACAAAGATCAAGCCAGTAAGACAGCCCAGTATTTTGGAGGAATTTTAAGATCAGTCTGCTGTAATGATAAAGGGGAAGGGCAAGATATAAGACCAGAAATGGAAGCAAGGGCCAGATCCCAAAGGGTCTTGTATGTGATTTCCTAATAAGAGTACCTAGAAAGCTGGTGAAGGGTCTTGTATCATTTACCCTTTTGGAGTCCTTGCTGTAGGGGACTGTGAGAATGTATTGAAGCAGGAGAGACTGAGGCAGGAGGCCAGTTTCAAAGCTATTGAAGGTTGGATTGAGAACCATTCAGGAGGTATAGTTGAGAAAAGTTGGTGCTTAATTGAGGTGGCAGAGGGAGGAAAGATAGGTGTCCCAGAGGGCACTAAGACTTTGGATTTGCACGACTGGGTGGCAAGAGGCACCAGGAGATGGGAACAAAAGAAGGCACAGGCTTAGAGGTCAGGAGACAGTTGGCTATGTGTTTCTGCAGCTCAGGGGAGATAAATCTGGAGACAGAGATTTTGGAGTGTCAGCATAGGAGTGGTAATTGAAGGCTTGGGACAGTTCTTGGCTCATTGTTCATTGGTTGCATGTTACTTTCCTTTAAATATTTTAGGAGGCTATGTTGGCCTTCTGTCCTTGTGATTATTTAATGGTTCAGCTTTAACCCCTTAGCTTGGGCTTCCTTCTCTGAGCAGGCAGTTGAGGGTAACTCTAGGACTCAGACTTGTCTGCAATGCACCCTCCTCCTTCCTCATCTGTGCTCAGCATGGGTCAGCCTTTGATACCTCTGAGCTTTTCGAGGGTCTGTAGATGAAGAATGAGGCTGTGGAGCTGAAAGGAAGTACAGAACTTTCTGAATTGGGAGGGGATAGGCTCTCCATCAATTGCAGAGTGCAGACAGTGGGGCTGCAGAGACTCCAGTATGGATAGCGAGGTTGGGTGGAAGGATCTTTGGGGTCTCTTCCAATATGTGGAAAACATAAGATTCTGCTGAGGTGCCCTGATTTCTGGGCCTGCAGGTGCTGAAAGATCACCTACTCCAACTTTACTCCTTTTCCCTTATCCCCCTGTGGAAAACCATGTTTCCATTTTCTTTTCTTTTTCCATCTTCCTTCCTTCCTTCCTTCCTTCCTTCCTTCCTTCCTTCCTTCCTTCCTTCCTTCCTTCCTTCCTTCCCTCCCTCCTTCCCTCCCTCCCTCCCTCTCTCCTTCCCTTCCTTCCTCCCTCCCTCCCTCCTTCCCTTCCTTCCTTCTTTCTTTCTTTCTTTCTGTCTTTCTGTCTTCCTTTTGCAGTTCTATGGATTGAACCCAAGGCCTGGAGCTTACCAGGTTCTCTGCCTCTGGAGCCACATCCCAAGTCCTTTTGGTTTTAGCTTATTTCTCATAGGGTCTCAAGCTTTGGCCTGTCCTTGAGCCATGATCCTCCTACTTCTAACTTCTGAGTGGTTGGGATTACAGGCTTGCATCACCAAACCGGGTACAGAAAGCCATTATATTCATTAGAGGTATTTAGCCCAGTTTGTGGCACATGCACATAGTAGGCACTTAAGCATGCAGATATGCAGTCCCAGTTTGCCCATTCAAGCTGTACACTCTCAGGTACATGGTTAAACTCTGCACCTTCCCTTTGTCATCTCTAAAATGGAGATGATATTTTTTTTTTTAATTTTTCAATTTTTTGTCGGTCATGGGGCCTGAACTCTGGGCCTGGGCACTGTCCCTCAGCTCTTCAGCTCAAGGCTAGCGCTCTACCACTTGAGCCACAGCGCCACTTCCGGCTTTTTCTGCTTATGTGGTGGGGCCTCATGCATGCAGGGCCTCAGGTGGCTCTATCACTGAGCCACCTTCTCAGCCCATGGAGATGATATTCTTTATTTCTTAGAGTGGAAGATTGGTGAAAAATGGTTGAGCTGGAAGCAATAACATCAAATATCTCTTCAGGCAGCTAAAGACTTAGAGGTAGTTTTTCTTGCTTTAGAAACTGTGGTTACTGAACTTCCTGTCTTTTGGTTTCCTCCATCTCAGTCTTGTGTTTGTTGATATGAAGTGCTCTTGGAAAAACTCTGGAAAGGGTTCGCAGCATGGCGTAGTATGGAAGCATGTGGAGACAGGGACTCTGCTTTACTAGCAGCTCAGTGATGCCCCGGCCTAGAGTCCGCCTCACTTGCTGTACGTCCCTCATCTTGTGCAAGCTAGAAACCTGAGTCATTTGCTCCCCCTCCACTTCTCTCCTAATCGAATTAGTTGTCAAGTCATGTCTAGTCTGTCTCTGAAATAGCTTCAGAATCCCTCCTGTTCTCCCCATCCTGGGCTGTGTTGTCTAGTTCATGTTCCGCCTGCCTAGCGCCTGGGCTGCTGCCTCCCCCACCAGCTCATCCTCCACACCACCACTGGAATTCCCTAAGCCATATTGAGTCCTGGGGAAAATGATGAATGAGACTCAGTGACCTTATTGTTGGGTGGAGGAGACACTGAGCAGAGGAAAATACCCACTTGGCAACTGAAAGGCAGAGTGCTTGGTCATGAGGCTATGAAAAACTCATTTTTCTGGGTTCACACTGTATTCCTGCCATGGTTCCAAGGATCAACTCCAGTGTCACTTTTGCCTCTCCTGGGATTCCTTCCTAGACTTACTTCATATACTTTTTATAGGTTATTTGTTTATTTGTACAGCAAATAGAACCCATTTCTTTGCTATGCTTCCTTGGCAGAATGTAAGTAAATCATGATAGTTTTCTGCAGGCACTGGATCACATTGTATCATAGTTATCTGAGGACCTTCCAGGGTAGGATTCCATTTGGTTTTGTGCCCTTAAGTCTGTGTTGCTCTATAAATGCCTGCTGGATGAAGTCATTTAACAGCTCTGTACCTCAGTTTCTTCATCCGAGAAACAGACTTACTAACCTCTTCCCTTTTCCTATTAAGGGAGTGTTAGTGAGATTCTTCAGGGAGTGTTTGTATTTATAAACTACATGTGAGATTTATCATGGGGCAAAAAGGCAAGGGTATTGATGCTGCCAGACTGCCCCTGCTCCAAGGCCCCTGCACTAGGATAACTGGGAGGGCGAGAAGACCTAGTGCTTTGTTGTCTTGGCTGTGGTTCCCAGGTGGGAGGGCTATGCTCAGGTGCCCTGGCCAGGTAAAGCTTTATCATTGCTCGCACAGCTTTAGCATGGAGCAGATATTTCATGGCTTGCTGTCCAGCCTGTACTTTGGAGGGGCCCAAACTCCTCAGAGTCCCTGCCTACCTCCCTCTTCCATGGTACCTGCAATCCTGTTCTTTGGTGCTTAGGGAAGGACCTACAGCAGGAGGCATTGGGAATCATTGGGTGTAGGCTAGTTTGGGGAGCAGCCTGGCCCTGCTTCTGCCTTTACTCACAAAATGGCTTGGGAAAATCCCTTCCCCTCTCCCAGACTTAGTTTCTCCATCTGCAAAATGGGAGGCCTAGGTTATATGACTGGCCTTCATTCAGGCTGGGCAACCTCCTATCACATCTCTCCAACTCCCTTGGGAATCTCGATGATTCTTCTAGCTCAAGATCACTTTCTTGGGGAAACCCTTCTCGGTTTTTCCCTTTCCTTGGCCATCCTGGGGTAAGTGGCTTGTGTGTCCTGATCCGCACCTGTTTCTTGTGCTGTCCTTTAGGTGTGGGTGTGACAGAGTGCCCTGTGCCTTTGTGCTGAGCTGCTCCAGAATGTCTCACAGGGTTTATAGGCCCAGGACTCTGCTGACAGTAATGGTTCATATAATAAAAGCAATGCAGCAGTGCTTGTGTGATCATTCACTTCGTGGTGGGCATTGTTGTGAGAGCTGTTTCTCTTCTGCTGGTGTTTCCCAAGCTCTCTTTGAATTCTTTCGAGTTTTTCCAAGTCTTATCAGAATTCAGCAAGGCTGGGCCCCCCCCCCCCCCCCCCCCCCGCATGGTCAGGGCTCTGAAGCAACTTCCTTTATCAGTTGTATTTTTCTTATTTTTACCAAAGTATTCTTCAGATAAAAATGAGAATAACAAAGTTTGCCCACATTTATTTCATAATCTAATGAGGAAAGGATTACTCTGTTTTATTTATAAAGAAGCAGCCTGGGCAGGGGTGGGGGGTGGGGTGGGAGGGGTGGGAGATGGGAAGGGGAAATGAAGGGGAGGAGGCAACAATGCTTGATAAGAAATGTACTCATTACCTTGCGCATGTAATTGCAACCCTTCTGTACCGTATTTTCACAATTAAAAAAAAAAAAAAAAAAAAGCAGGCTCAAGCCTGTAATCCTAGCTACTCAGGAGGCTGAGATCTAAGGATTGTGGTTTGAAGCCAGCCTGAGCAGAAAAGTCCATGAGACTCTTATCTCCAATAAACTACTCAACAAAAGCTGGAAGGGGCTCAGTGGCCCAAGTGATAGAGTGCTAGCCTTAAGCACAAAGAGGCTCCTGCGTTCAAGCCACCGGACAGGCCAAAAAAAATAAATAAATAAAAAGAGAAGGAGGACAGGAGGCCCAGAGATAAGTCACTGGCCCAGTCATGAAGCCAGCTGGAGAGAACACTTTTTAATCAAGATCTGTGGTGACTTAGGGGCTGGTGAAAGTCTTGCCACTAGCTGTTGGCACTTATGGGGAGAAAGACTCCCGTGATGCTAAGTGGGGAGGTGGCAGGGCCAGCCTTCTGAACTTCAAGACGCCTCCTTCCTTGGGAAGTATGGCCTTAGCCTTGAGGGTAGCTCTCTCAGAAGTTGTCAAACATCATCGCAAGAAAGCCTGGACTCTCAGTGCTGAGCCACTGGGGCATCTACAAGCTGACCTACAGCATGTATAGAACCTACACTATCCTCAGAGCTGCCCAGCTGCTCTCTGTGCCCTTGAGCTCTGCAGATGAGCTGAGCTTGGGCTCTGCCAGGCCTGTACTGTCTGTTTAGGGACATACAGTAGAACACCACTGATCCTCAGGAGTCCCTAGCTACAGGTGTGCAGAGATGGAGAAGAGAGGGAATGTCCCCATGTATGCTGAAATCTACCATTTCCCTCTGGGAAACCTGGATTCTAGACCTGCCCATCCCTGACAGTCTCTGTGACTAGTCTGGACTTGAGTTTCCTCCCCTGTGTCAGAGCACTTCCTTTCGTGCCCTTGGCAGCCTGAGGTAACCAGCATTATTGTTCCCATTTTGCAGCCCAAGACTCTGAGGCTTAGTGAGTAACAATCCAGTCAGTAAGTGGCAGAGCCTGAACTGAACTGGTTTTTTGCCATTAAATCTACTGCCTGGGGACTCGGGTCTCCCTGCTTGCTGCAGAGTCAGCACACATGGAGGGGTCCATGCTGTGAACTCATTGCCATCACTGTTTGAGGTCAGGCCTGGTGCTGAGAATCCTGCAGGTGGAGATGGGTGCCTCCAGGCGAGCATTTGGAATGCCATCTGGTTCCACACACATCAGTTGACACTGAACGCTGGATGTAAAGTAGCAGAGCTGACTTGATAAGCCCTCGTGGAGGCCTTTGACTCCGAGCTGTGCTGGTGGGACCTTCCTGGGAATCTTGGCTTACTCTTCAGACCCATGGTGTCAAGCAGCCTTGCCTGCTGAGAAAATGGCAGTGGCAAGGTGCTGTGCTGTGCTAGGTTCTGTCCTCTTCATCCTAACTGGTATCTTTCTTCCTGCAGGGCTGCCCTGGAGCTCCAGGACAGGCGCCCGGAGCCCCTCCGGGTAGCTACTACCCTGGACCTCCCCACGGCGGAGGGCAGTATGGCAGTGGGCTCCCCCCTGGTAGTGGTTATGGAGGTCCTGCCCCTGGAGGGCCTTATGGGCCACCAGCTGGTGGGGGGCCCTATGGACACCCCAATGCTGGGGGTCTTCCCTCTGGAACTCCAGGAGGACCATATGGCGGTGCAGCCCCAGGGGGCCCCTATGGGGCTCCAAGTTCCTATGGTCCCCAGCAGCCTGGGCCTTATGGACAAGGTAAGTAGGATCTTGGGCCCTAGGTACCTCTGACCTGGTTCTGAATTGTTCACAGTCTGTCCTTGTCCTTCCTGTGGGTATTCAGGGCACCCCCTCAGCCTGTGCTAGCTAACTTTGCTGTTGTAACACCTCCCCACCTCCTAGCTTCTGGCAGGCATTTCTGTTCATTGCTTTACTCTGCTTAGGTGTCAGCAGCCACAGGTTGGTAGCAGTGTCTGCTCCATGTCTGTCTTCATTCTGAGATCTAGGCTGAAGGAACATCTCATGTTTGAATTACATTGTCCTTGTGGCACAGAAAAGAGCAATGCCTCCAACCTACCTCTAAGATCTTGGACTCTGGGGGGCTGGGAAGGTGACTCAGTGGTAGAGCGCTTGCCTTGCATGCATGAGGCCCTGGGTTCGATTCCTCAGCACCACATAAGCAAAAAGAAAAAAGCCGGAAGTGGCGCTGTGGCTCAAGTGGTAGAGCGCTAGCCTTGAGCTGAAGAGCTGAGGGACAGTGCCCAGGCCCAGAGTTCAGGCCCCACAAGCAGACCCAAAAAAAAATAAAAAAATAAATAAAAATAATAAAATCTTGGACTCGGAAGTGCCATTTGTCTTTTTACTCACATTCTTTTTTATTTTTATTTATTTATTTTTGCCAGTCCTGGGGCTTGAACTCAGGGCCTGGGCACTGTCCCTGAGCTTCTTTTTGCTCAAGGCTAGCACTCTACCACTTTAGCCACAGCACCACATCTGGCTTTTTCTGTTTATGTGGTACTGAGGAATGGAACCCAGGGCTTCATCAATGCTAGGCAAGCACTGTACCACTAAGCCACATTCCCAGCCCCACACATTCGTTGTTTTTTTTTCTTTAGGTCAGTCATGGGGCCTGAACTCTGGGCCTAGGCACTGTCCCTCAGCTCTTCAGCTCAAGGCTCTTACCACTTGAGCCACAGCGCCACTTCTGGCTTTTTCTGCTTATGTGGTACTGAGGAATCAAACCCAGGGCCTCTTACATGCAAAGAAAGCACTCTACCACTGAGCCACCTTCCCAGCCCCCTCACATTCTTTTGATCAAAGCAAATCCCCTTCACCAAACTTGATGTTAATAGGATGGGAATGAGTAAGGAACTCTAAGTGGCCAGACAGTGTACAGTGCTTGGATAATGTAGTCTGTGAGGACAGACCCCATTCTTGTATGAGAGAGACTGACTTCCATTTATAGAAAGGCAAAATGGTATAGGTATGAAACATTGATTTCTTTCTTTCTTTCTTTCTTTTTTTTTTTTTCTGGTCCTGGGGCTTGAACTCTGGGCATGGGTCCTATCCTTGAACTCCTTTTGCTCAAGGCTAATGCTGTACCACTTAAGCCACAGTACCACTTCCAACTTTTTCTGTGATTAATTGGAGATAAGAGTCACTGCCTGAGCTGGCTTCCAACTGTGATCCTCAGATCTCAGCCTCCTGAGCTACTGGCACACAGCAAGGTTGACTTTTGAGATCAGGCCACTTACTACCTGACCAAGCCTCTTCTTTAAGCCTCAGTGTCACCATCTGTAAAATGGGACAGTGGCATTACCTCACAGGGCTGTTGATAAGGATCAAATGAAAGGGTACAGATAAGAACTGGGCATAGCATCTGAGCTTAATAAATAATATTCTGGGAGGATTTGTCCTAGGGCGTTCTCAGCAGAGAAGTATTTATTATTTAATATGATAGCTATGAAGGATGCTGAGGCAGGCGGGAGGATGAGATGGAAGAGAGGAAAAGCAGAACAACTCAAGGATTCCTTTTAGGACAGAGGCAGGGCAAGGACCTGAAGATTCAATAGCAGCAGAGAACCTTGGTGGGGGCTTCAGCGTCAGTGAGTATTTCTGGGCAGTCTCAAATAGAAAGTCAGGGAAAGTAGATGCCAGTGTGAGGCCCCCCTCCTTCCCCCTTCTCCCCCGCAACAAAAAAACAACAAAAAAGAAAACACCTCATTTCAAGCAGCTCTTTCCCAGGAGATTCAGCCACCAGCAAAGAATCCCATTTTGGTGCATGTGAAAGGCCTCCTAGGAGTACCTTGCTGACAGTATGTACCCAGGCAGGTGGCCCTGGGGAAATGCTCAAACCTTGGGGGTTCTGAGCACTGCCAGCCAGGTGACATTTATCTCCTCAGAGCCCAGAGCATCTGGCCATTTGCTTTCAACTCAGCAGCTCTCTAGTGGGTTTCCATATCCCTTAAAATCTTGTCTAGAAGCCCACAGGAGGTCACTGACTCTGAGGCTTATCCCTCCAGGGCCTGAGGTTAGCTATAATCTCTGGGGCTGGAGGGGAGAGGAAGAGATAGAGGAGAAGAGGAGGGGCCTGCCTTGTGTGCCCAGCTGCTCTCTACTCCTCTCACTTGGCCACCTTTGCATGTAGTATGCTACGCGCAGTACCTACACTGGGGTCCCAGGGAGGCCCCACAGCCAGGGTTTGAGAACCACCTTTCTGGAAGATACATTTGGCCATCAGAGATACCCTCTGCTGGCAGAAAGCTCTTAAAGGGCCTTTCTAGCTTCCCTACCTGCTGTCACCCCTTCTACGCCACTCACCTAAAACCCCTCAGTGTGCCCTGAACACACCCTGCACCTGTGCCACTGTATGCTTCTTGCTCCCTTGCAGACCCAGTTGAAGTGTTTCTTCCACTCTGAAGATACCTGCAACTACATTCTTTGCAGCCTTTGCTAGGAACCGTATTTTTCTGTTCTCTCGTGCAAGCATCACACTATCCTGGGAAGTGGGTACCTCTTAGAAAACATTACACATTTTATATAAAGTCACTCATACTACTAAGGGTCAGACACAGGATTTAAATCCAGGTCTGCTTTTGGTTCCAAAGCTGTAGCTCCTCTGCATAAAGCACACAGCGCATGTTTGCTGCAGTAGAAGCACCGGGTCTGGGACTTCTGTTTTTGAGGTAGATGAGATGCACCTGGATTTCTCATCTAAGCAGGTCATGCTACATCCGCAGTCAGGTTGTCCTCCTTTTCTGATTGTTGTGTGATGGAGAAAGTTAACTCCGTGGCTCCTAAGAGACATCTTTGCTTTTCCACTTTGATTTACCACCCCATCTGTCAGGCCACCTTTTCCAAAGAATTCTTGTTGTGCTGAACAGGGATAGGAAATACAGAGTCAAATAGATAAGTGACTAGGACATTATCCAGAAAAGCCAGCAGGACTCATGGAAAGTAGCTGCAAACCTGCGAATCTTCCAGCCGCCACTTAGACCAGAGTGAGATGGAGGATGGAGGAGGTGGATCTGTGGGGCTATGTGGATAGGGCCACCTACAGCGAGGGAGCCACCAGAGCTGCCTCTCCTTGGCTTTTCTGTGAATTGGCCTTGAGTCCTGGGCCTGACTTTGGCTCATGTTCCTTCCTGCAGGTGGTATCCCTCCCAACGTGGATCCTGAGGCCTACTCCTGGTTCCAGTCTGTGGATGCCGATCACAGTGGCTACATCTCCATCAAGGAGCTGAAGCAGGCCCTGGTCAACTCCAACTGGTCCTCATTCAATGATGAGACCTGCCTCATGATGATTAGTGAGTCCCAGCCCTGCCCCATAGGTTGGGCTAGGGAAGAGCCATCAGATAGTTGACAGTAGGTAGCCAGGTGGCCAGTCTGAGAAGAATTCCTTGGGCCAGCGAGTATTTCCAGGAGGAGGCTGAGTTCCAACCTAGGGGAGAGATCTCCCCTAGACTGGATCTTTCTCAAGTTCTAGACAGTTGGGTTACAGGCTAGCTCAGTTTCCCATTCTGCAGATAGGGACTCCCTCCCATGGAAGGAAACAGCAGGGAGGGGTCAATGTGGATTCAAACCTGTAGAAAAGATACAGTTCTGGATAGGGTAGGCCTGAGGAGGCCTAGGAGGGCAGGTATTGGGCTTGAGTCCGGTGTCTCAGGTGCAGGTGTCTGGGACTCAGGCTTGTGGTTCTGTGGAGTCTACTGCCCCTGCCTGGGGGGGGGGGGGGGGGGGAAGGGAGGGGAGAGGAGGCCTCAGTACTGAAGTCATCCTTCCCTCCTCCCACTCAGACATGTTTGACAAGACGAAGTCTGGACGCATTGATGTCTATGGTTTCTCCGCGCTGTGGAAGTTCATCCAGCAGTGGAAGAACCTCTTCCAGCAGTATGACCGGGACCATTCTGGCTCTATCAGCTACACAGAGCTACAGCAAGGTGAGGGCTGCAATGGACAGGACATGGCTAGCTTCTCCTCTCCTAAGATAGAAGACAGTCTCACTGCCAAATGTCCATGTGTCACAAGTGCTGTCCTTGTGAAGACTCACTCGTAACGTCCCTGTGTGAGCAGGCAGGGCCGCTGAACAAAATCCAGGGCAAGGATCAGGGCTGGCCTCCCTAGTGACAGGACTTCTCAGCTGCGAGGAGCATCCCCAGCTGGTGGGAAGCATTAGGGATGGAAACGCAGCACCCCAGTGCACTGGGGAGATGTGCCTGTGTGTGGCTCTTTCCTCGATTTCCACCAGGTAGGATGGGAAGGACCCTGCCCAGGGTCTTGGAATGGTAACTTAGCCACCTCTGCTGGAAGGCAGTGTCTTCTCAACTCCGATTGTAGTTAGGTAACATGACCTGAGGCCCAGCTCCCGCTTTCTATCCTGTCTGACTCTATCATGCCAGAGCCTGGGACCTGGGCTTGGACTGGTAGGTAACAGGACAGTGACTAAAGAGATTGAGAACCAGTGGGAGTTTTCTGAACCTCAAAGGAAAGGTCACCAAGAATGCCTAATCCTTTGCCCTAGCCATGGATTTCAGTCAAGACTAGGGAGGCCTGTGGGTGGGAGTGAACCCACCACATCTGTGCCTGGTGGGAGGGAAGAGGAGGACAGTAGTGATCACTATCTTTCTGACCTCTGTAATAGGTATTGGTGAGGTAGTATAGCATTGAGCTGGGCTCCCGTGGCTATGCCTTTAATCCTAGCTACTCTGAAGGCTGAGATATGAAGATCCTGCTTGGGCAGAAAAGTCTGTAACTCCTATCTCCAATTAGCCAGCAAAAAGCTGGAAGTGGAGCTGTGGCTTAAGTGGTGGAACGGCAGCTTTGAACACAAAAGCTTAGGGACAGCACCCAGACCCTGAGTTTGAGTATCAGGTCTAGGACAAAACAACAACAGGAAAAAAAAAAAAAACCTCAATGAATTCTTGCTGTGTCCCAGGCAGTGTAATAAGCATTTTAGTAGGTTTACATGATCCAGTTTTCTCACATACTAGATCCTGTTTATTATTTCTTATTATTTGGTGAAGAATGTCTTACGGTCTCCATTTTACAGATGAGAAAGCAGACTTAGTATATGTATTGCCGACATGCCCACAGAGCAAATGGAGATTTGCTGAGATTTTAGCCTTTAGATAAATTATGTAGAGAAGAAGACAGGAAGCAAGAATCATCTCATTTGGGGGTGGGGAGGTGGGCTGTAGGCCTAGGACTGTAGGGTCTGTAGGCTCATGTGGAGAGAAGATGATTTTATTAAAAGAAATACTTGGTGAGCCTGGCATTGTGACACATATCTGTAGTTGCAGCACTCAGGCTGAGGCAGGAAGATCCCCAGTTCAAGGCCAGCTCAGGCTAAATAGGGAGACCCTGCCTCAAAAACAAAACAACAAACACAGTCCCAGATACTGTGGTAAGTATGTGGGCGATCATCTTTAATCCTTACTAGATGTACAAGGTGCATTTCATCCCTATTTTAGCAGTAGTGAGATGGAAGGATAGTCAGACTACACAGCTTGCCAGACTATTGTGGGTCAGACTATGGCCCATGTGCTGCGCTGCTGCCCCCGGGGTCTGCTGTAGGCACAGTGAGGTGGGAACTTGGGCTTCCTTCTATGCCTTACATGGATCAGAGATGATCACAGATGGACTGCTATTCTGTCTGGGACCCCGTGAACCCTAACTAACTGAACAGTGGAGACTTGGGAATGGAGGGAGGGTCTACCAGCTCAGGGGAGCATCTACACAGAGCACCTGTTGTGCTTTTGTGCTGATCCGAGTCCCCTGGTCTGCTGTGCTTTTGAGGATGGATCAAGGAGGTGCTCACAGCAGGTTTGTGTGTGTGTGCTCTGTGCCTTACCAGCTCTGTCCCAGATGGGCTACAACCTAAGCCCCCAGTTCACCCAGCTCCTGGTTTCCCGCTACTGCCCGCGTTCTGCAAATCCTGCCATGCAGCTCGACCGCTTCATCCAGGTGTGCACCCAGCTTCAGGTGCTGACTGAGGCCTTCCAGGAGAAGGACACAGCTGTCCAGGGCAACATTCGGCTCAGCTTTGAGGACTTCGTCACCATGACAGCGTCTCGGATGCTCTGACCCTGTCTGAGTGGAGCACGCCAAGGGCCTTCTCTGTTCCTTACAGTGGGAGAAGCGTGTGGGCCTCTTTTCCTGTTCCTCCTAGAAAGATCCTTCCTTGCTTGATGCAGCACTGTTCCTAGAGAGGGTTAGGAGTCCTGCATCAGCCCATAAATAGTGACGTCCTGGCCTGTGGCCACACAGATAGGAGTCTGACCTAGGGAAGGACCAGAAGCTGAATGTCCTGAGCACTGAACAGCACAGCCTGGCATCAGAGGCAGGAGCTGACAGTCAGCGGTGGAGGTGGTATGTGTGTCAGCCACACACTGGCCTCCAGCTCTCCCCTCTATACCCTGACACCAGTGGTAAGCGTTCATTAGCCTCCTACAGTAATACCTGTCTTCCTCACCCAGGTGATCATGTCAGATGACCCCAATTTCTCTAAAGTGGAATCCCATGGAACATGAGAGAGATTTGCCTCTGGGACCAGTGGCTTGGATTCACTCAGACCCAATGTCCCATGTGTTAACCTCTACTTGCCTGGGCTCTCCCTGCCCAGGGAGCACAGACATTCTGCCATCTGGGCATCTTTGACCAGGCTGCTGCCCTCCAAAGCTTGGACTCTCGCCTGCCTGCCATGTTCCGCTTGGCTGTAGTCCCCAGGGCACAGTTGTGACTTCCCACTGCCAATGCTTTTTTTTTTTTTTTTTTTTTTAAGAATTTGTTCTTTTTGTTTGGGGCCAAAAGTCCAGTGAAACAATAAGCTTCAATAAAAGGTGAAACTTGTGAGTCCCATGTTTTCTGCCATGTCTAGTTCCATACCTGTCCATGCAGCCACCTGTTCGTTCTTTCGTTCTGTTTATAGGTATGCAGGAAAGCAGCTTGGTGGCAGCCAGGATGGAGCTCTTCTTATGCAAGTAAGGCTGAGGTCTTGCTGGGTTCACTTCTATGGCTAGAGTCAGCTCAACATGACTGACTTTGTCTCATAGCAGTATTAGGTTGGCATTTCTGGAAGCAGCCACCCCAAACTTTTCAAAGCATGGCCTGTTAATTATCTCAGGTCTGAGTTTCATCTTCTAGACAAACTCCATTTACAAAGTAGTATCTTCCCCCAGTTTTACTAAGCACTGCCAGCCATCTGTATCTCCAGTTGGATCCCGAGATCCACATGATACCCAGTCTACACTGGGTATCTGTAACACAGTGACAGAATTTCAATCAAAAGCTGAAGACACTTGACATCCTAGTTTCCAAAGAGCCTTATCAGCAGTAATGGTGTGATTATCCTTTGGCTTTGGGAGGTGAAGGTAAGAGCTTGGAGATAGAGAGGCCTTCAGAAGAGTGTTCCCTGCCCCAGGAGGGCAACATGGGGGTATGGGCTTAGGGATGGAGAGCGGCTGTGACAGTTTTGCAGGTCAGTAAGTCCCTGCAAGCAGGCCAGGCTCAGCCGCTTCAGCTCCTCTGTGCTGCTGTGGCTCTGAAATTCCAGAATAAGATGGAATCCAGATCCCATTGGCCAGCCCTATTCAGAACTAAAGTCCCCTCCAAGGACTCCTGAGAAGTCTGGCCTCTGCTTACCAGCCTCCAGTGACAAAATCTCTAGACCTTCCAGGTAGCTTATTTTTTCACTAGTAGAAACATGTTCCTGGAGTGGACTCTAAATCCTGCCATCTTGCAAGTGCCAGCCATTGGTCTTGGTATTCTTTTGGCAGACTACCCAGGGCATACATCCTCCTTCCTGAATGTCAATCCTCTGGATAGCGGAGCTTGCCACCACATTGCTATGTTTCCTCCCAAGCCAGGTAGCCCCAAGCTTTTGAGGTACTCCTTGCGTATGTCTCCTTGGTGTGCTGGTCACCTCCAGTTCATCAGAGGCCCTCAAGGCAAAGCTGCTGCCCACTGTGGTTCTGGGTCCCACAGCAATGGAGGGGGGGAGAGGGGAGAGCAGCCTCTAGCAGAAGCTCGGGAGGTCACCTTGTCCCCTGAAAGCCTTTTTTTTTTCATGAAAGCCATTTTGATTTTATTTTTTATATGACAATGGGAATAGAACCCAGGGTCTCACACATGCTTGAGTCACTGCCACTGGACTGTACCCCCAGCTTCCAAACCCTTCTTGGGTAGACACTTGCAGGCATGGTTGGCTCCAGTCCTCGTGCCTCATTGTCCACACTGCCCCTCCAGACCTGCCTATGACCTTCAGGAACAGCTTTAGATTCCAAGGCCAGTGGAGGTAGAGTGGGTGGGCACCTCATTCCTCCTGGCAACAGTTTTGTGGGCCACTGGGGTAGAGCTGGGTTGGAAAGTCTGGAGAGTGGGTAACATAGCTGCACACACATTCCACAAGGGAAGGGCCTAGGAAGAGCCAGGCTGGCCCCAGGGCTCTGACCCCAGCTTTGTGACAGGTGAGCTCAGGGAAGCCCAGGGCTCCGTTAATCAATGTAAGCATACCTGGCATGGCTGTGCTGGCCTTGGCCACATGTCTCCCGCTCCTCTGGTGGAGCAGCACTCCAGACTGCTCCATCCTGTTCTGGCAGTGAGGATCAGAGCCTCTGGCAGCCCCCATAATCAGCTAGGAGCCAGCCCTAGCACATCCAGCCAAGTGTGTGGCTTCCTCTTTATGCTGTGAGTTCATAGAAAATAAATGAAGGCCTGATTTCCAAGAAGGTGAGGGAAACAGTAAATCAGGCTGTTAACCTGCTGTCTGCCCACCCTACCCCTTACCTTCCCGAGGCCCTGGGGCCAGGGAATAGACAGTGTGGCAAGAATGGAGGTTCCTGGCATCAGAGCCTTGGCAGCACCGAGGAGGCAGTGCTGCCTGCATCCTGAATCCATCTAGGGTCTGGTGGGGGCAAGGAGGGCTGCAGGCAAGAGCATCCAGTGCCTTCTTCAGCCTTCCTCTGCTAACCTGAGGCGTACAGATTCTATGTAATGACAAGGAAAGGGAGCATTCTGTGCCAGGCTTTTAATTACAATTGCTTCAGGCTGCTGGCGTCCATGCTGAACGGCTGCTCGGAGAGTTTTATCACACCACAGAGTCAACAAGGTCCAGCCTGCGGTGTGTGTGCTCGGCACCCAGCAAGGCTGTACTGTGCTTAGGGCTCACTGGACAAGGACTAGACTTAGTTTGCACAGGCATCATCAGAACAGCTCCAGCTGTTGTGGGGGGGGGGCGGTCCTTGGGCCAAATAGAAACACCTATGGGGGCCTTTGGAGCTGACTCTAAGGAAGTCCTATGACTCGGTAGGAGAGGAGTCTGTAGGAGGAAGGCCAAGCATTAGAAGGATGATGATGGTGGGTGCTATTGTGGAGGAAAGCCACGCAAGAGAAAAACATCAATAACTGTGTCCACAGCATGAGTCCATGGAGAGCTTTCTCCTTCCCTGAGCATGCGTAAGCCTCATGTCAACCTTGCTTAAGGAGACATGAGCTCAGAGAGGGAAGAACTTGCTCCGAGTCACCTGGGCAGAAAGCCAAGCCTGGAGCCCCAGCCTGTCCCTGCATCCACCGTTGTATCAATGAGAAGCTTCGCAGCTCCCTGCCCACCCACCTCAGGGCAGCACTGTGGTGACACTGGTGAGCACCACATGCTCAGACACTTTGGAGACCGAGCACCGGCTCTGCAAGGACAAGGACTTGTGGCTGGCAGAGGAGCCGGGGCGGGGAGCCTTCAGAGAGCTGCAGGGACCCGGGCCAGGCAGGCAGCAGGAGAAGGCGGCCTTAAACTGCTCCCGGAATTTGCCTTGGTTGGGAGACAAAAGACACAGCCATAAGGAGACAAATGCAGCTGGAAAGGAGCTTGAGCCCAAGAGCTACCCACACAGCTCCAGCTGTGCGTGAGTGGGGAGGGAAGTGGGGAGGGAAGGGGAGAGCTGGAAAAAAGGACAGAGCCCCTGAGCGGATTCCCAAAGTAAAATGCAATTGTTCTGATTCCTTGACGGCACTCTGGCTCAGGGCCTGGCTGAGGATGTGGCAGCGTCTGGCTCAGGAGCCTCAGGTCACCTCTGCCCTTTGTGTGCAGGGGAGGAGAGAGCTCAGGGATCACTCTGTTGCTAGGCTCTGCCCAACTCTGCCCTGTGAGGATAAAGTAACAGCAGGGGCTCTTGCAGGTGGTAGTCACGCTGTGCCAGGCACTGTGCTATGATTTGGCCATCTGACCAGAACTGGACTTGGTTCTTATTCCAAAGCCCATCTCTGAAAGAGAAGGGTAGTGGGACAGGACAGATCCCACTCTACCTTGTCTAGCCCATATAGAGTAAGGGGACAAGGATTTCTCCTTGAGCATGTGTCATCAGCCTGCCAGCCTCCGTGGTGCCTGGCACAGGGCTGAGCACAAAGTAGGTACTCAGTAAATGCAAACTAGACAAAGGCACATGCATCAGGAAGTCTGCCTGCCCTTGCCACCCAAGCAAAACTTATCTCCTCTCTACTCTGAGCTGGGAATCAGCAGCAGCCTTTGTCGGGTAATTCTTGAGTTGCTATGTGACTATACTATTGAGCTGTGCTCCCTCAGAGCTGTTAACCCTTTCTGAAAGACAATTTGTATCCAACCTTGAGCAGTCACTTGGACAGGCTCCTGACAGGCTCAGGCCCCCACTGGAAGTCTGTGAGTCACTTCCACTAAAACAAGTTTGAAGGCCAGGCCATGACCCTCCTTGAGACAGGAAGGTGGTGAGCAGAGTGGGAACTATAGGAGAGCAGAGACAAGTGACCCACAGTGGGGTGGGCATCTGGGCATCCATATGGGAGGCTAAGAAGGCTGTGGCCAGAGGCAGTAGGGCTAGGTGTCACCTGCCATTATATCCAGCTGGGCAGGGGAGTATCCTTCCTCAAGCCTGGGCTATCCTGCTGGTGAGCTGCCCCTCTCCCCTGAGGCAGGGAATCCCATCCTCCTCCCACAGGACGGGCTCCCTCTGGAAAGATGGACTACTCTGCCTCTATTGACCAAAGAAGAGGCTGGCGGGAGATCCTGTGGTGCATGTCCAAGCAGGGCTGGTAGAAGCAACTGAGGCGAGTCCTGCCCTCTGCACTGGCCTGCAGCATCTGCTCACCTCCACCTGGCTGCTGGCCACTGCCTCCCACTCAGGCCAGGGCTCTTGGGGACTGAGTCTCCCTTGTGAGTGGGTGTTCCCAGAGCAGGTCCACAATGCTCAGGAGAGAACAGCTACCTTTTCCCCGCCTCATCCCAAGATGGAGACTCCTGCTTTGGGGACTGCTGCCCTCACCCCCCAGCCACCACCTGCCCAGCCTGCTCACCACTGAGGAAGTTGTAGATGATGGGGTTGGCGGCGCTGTTGGCATATACCAGCCAGTGGGAGAAGGTGAAGCAGGCATAGACGGCTTCCCGGTCGCGGGCTTGGTGGAACATCCCGAACACCCTAATGCAGGAGTAGGTGAGTGTCATGTCTTAGGGCATCTGTGCCTGTTCACTATGGCCTCTGGGTCTTGACCATAGTTTGGGGTTCTCAGGCACAGAGAGCATGACCAGAGGGGGCCTAGGAACAGATAACCAGCTATCTGATCCTCCCCTTCCCCAGTTCATCTTCCTACCCATCCTCATAGCAAAATGATAGCAATGAATACCATCTGTTTTTCCATGTTCTTTCATGGACCCTTCTTGGCTCCTCATCCACTGTGTCCCTCTGCTTAAAGTGCTGTCTCTCCAGATCCCTGCAGGTTCCCTCCCTTCCTCCTAGTCTCTGCTCAACTCAGAGAGTGGCCTCCTGCCTCAGCCTTCCAGTGCTGGGATTACAGGCATCTATAATGTCCAGCTTCTCAGAGAGACTTAGAAAATACAT